ATCTGCAGTTGTGATTGATAGATCTAAGTGATGACACTGAGGGGCACGGCACGCAAGGCAGGCACGCCCTAAAGATAAGAGGGTTGCCAAGCTTCCTGACTGCTCCATCGGGTCTATCGGTTAAGGCCAACACGGCGACCCCCCTCCTCGTTCTTCAACAGAAATCATGATCTTATCACCTGCCCTTCATGCTGCATGCAAATGCCATGCCTCGTATCACTTCGTTTCATCCTTGCTCTGTATGGCTTCCGTGTCGATGCACCCTGCCGTAGCTGATGGTCAAACCCCGAACGCCGACGCTATGCTCCAGTTGAGAACGCGCTCACATGACCTTGGGTCATAATTGCCCCTCGAGGCTGACCTTTTCGAGGGCCTGTTCTAAAGCTTCGCGCTCTCTTTGCTTTTCCTGCTCCATCAAGAACTGCGCGTACTTCGATCGAGGGTTGTGAATGCCACACTCGGTTTTTTGTTGGCCCTTCCAACGACCTGCACGCTCGTCTTCACCGACCTTGACGGGCTGCGTCGAGTGCCAATCACCAACGCTCTTGTAGCCCTTGTCCAGCAGGCTGTTGTACGGTACGTCGTTTTCGTCAATGTATTGCTTTATCTGCTCGAATGTCCAGTTGGCGAGGGGGTTGATTTTCAGCAGCCCGGCTTCATCAACCTCGATGATGTCGAGGGAGCCTCTAGCCCCGCCCTGACTCCGTCTCCTCCCGGTAAGGACGGCATAGGCGTTGAGCTCGCGGTAAGCCCGTTGTGCTGGTTCCACCTTGACAAGATAGTCATATCGGTTGTCGTCGGTCTCCCATAGTCTGTCACCGTACTTCTCCTTGAATTCTTCTGCTGTCTCGACTCCTGCCGGCTTGAAGGTGTGGATGTTCACCAGAGGATATCTTGCTTGTACCCTTTCCACCAATTCCAGTGTCTCGGGGAAGTGATGCAATGTATCGAGGAAGACAAGATCCACCATTTGCGGCCGGGGAACCTTCAGCTTCGACAACATGTCAAGGGACACTAGGCCAGTCAGGCCGAAGGCGGTGGTCTGGTATAGGTTGGGAATGGTGGTGATGGCCCATCTCAGGATTTCCTGAGGCTCCAGGAATTGAAGCTGACGATTGAGGAAGCGAAGATGAGGCTTGGTGAAGTACAACTCGGGCATATCACTCTCACTGTTGGTCCCAGAGGCATATCCAGAGTCGGCACCTTCCAATGAGGGGCTGCTGCGGCCGCTGCCGCATGGGGAGTTCGCTCGCACTGACATGGCGGTACGATTCGTGGCAAAGGGATTGAGCAAGAACAGCGACGCTGGGGACAAGGACGCGAGGAAGCTGGAGAGGGAACGCATTTGAGAAGTGATCGAACCGACTGACAAAACTGACGGCAACATAGGGGATGATGAAACTGCTGGAAACCCACCTTTACAAATCAACCATTCCGTATCATTGTCGAGCACGCAATTCTGTGGTGGAGTGAACTAGGAGTCGAGAGCCTCGCCTGCCGCGGGCAAAAAATCGAAGAAAGGGCGAAGAGATCCCTCATCTCCCTCGAATACCTCATCACTTGGGCGATGGCGTGATCGAGAGGCAAACAGCCTTCCCTATGTTCATTGGATGCCGACCATTCTCGACGACTGATGTCGGTTGTCATTTGCTGACCTGCTCCCTCCGACAGCCGTAGATAATCGGGAATCGGAGAAAACATGCATTACTTGCGTGCGAGCTCGACTCACCTGGGGCTCCATTTTTTCACCCGGACTAGCTCGGCGGTATGGTCGGACGGCACTCCAACCACACAAAAGCCCCGGAGTGGCCGTTACGTGACGGCAGCTCGCGAGCACATCATCTGGCCAAGAGAGTCGACGTAGGAAGTAGTCCGAATACGGAGCGCTGTGGTGATGTCGCGAGAAAGAGCTGCGTTGACGAAAGCCTCGCTATATGTAGCCAGATTTACGAAAAGAGCGCGTGATCCAGCAGCTGAAAACCACATCACGGGGTTCTACCGATTCCCATTAAAATCCTGCGAGCTGTGTGCCAAGCCGAGTCGCGACATCCGAGCCAAGACTGTCACGTGTAGATATTCACGTGATTCGGCAACGACTCCACGAATTGGGACACAATTCTATCTCGGCAACTGCTGCCAAAAATAACAAATGAAATGTTCAGAATTTGTTCCTGCATCGGGTCGACATGCGATGACGTCGCCTCGCAGTCGCTGATCCTTTCCTCTCCCTTCTCTCCGCTGTTCCTTGCTGCTCGACGACCTCACACTGTGTACTTGACAGATTCTATACAGCTGTATGCGATGCTCATGTGCTGACTGGTTGGCAGGCCATGGCGTCGCCTATTCCACCCCGCAAGCCGAGCCTGGCTAAGGACTCGTTGACCGGTAGCAGTTATCTCGACGACCACCTTGAGTACAAGGCTCGCCAGACCGGCCCGTCGGCGAGCATTGATGGAGTACTCGAGCAGCCCGCCCGGGTCCCTCGAAATGCCATGTCGAATCTGTCTCTGTCGAGCGCTTCAAGGAGGTCAGTCAGCGCGATCCCTCCCTCGCCGATCATATCTCAGGAGAGTGGAACCGTGCACACAATCTCCCATACCAATTGCATTCCTGAACCAGGAGATCCTGCAAGGCTAGTTGCAACCATTTTCTACAACTCGAGCGCCCCTCGTCATCCCCATCTTCATCCAGATCAATCCCCTCCAGCCAAGCCAACAGATTTCATTCCGGCACCCGAGATCGCAGAAGGTTCCGCACCCACGACGAGCATTCAAGAATATCCGCTGGAACCCCCTGCGCCCGAACCCGAACCTCTCGACCATTTATACGGCGCTTACATTTCTCAACTATGCTTGACCCATTTTCTTTCGACTCTCGATAGCCTTCTGATCCACAATGAGCCAGAAGAGAGACGTCTAACGTCGTCCCACCGATGTCTATGCCCCGATCCATTCAAGCCTCGGGTCATGGAAGTTACGTTCACGCCGCCCCCCAACCCGCAATACCTCCCATTTGACCTCATCCCCAAACACGAATCCATTTACAAATTTGAACGAGAGTGGAACTGCGAGATCATTCTGCAAGCCAACACGGTGTACCGGCGGCACAAACGACTGTGTGTCTTCGACATGGACTCCACGCTAATCCAACAAGAGGTCATTGATGAGATTGCCGCCTTCGTTGGAGTCAAGAAGGAGGTTGCCGCCATAACAGAGCGAGCGATGAATGGTGAACTCGACTTTGCAGCTTCGCTTAAAGCGAGAGTGTCGCTTCTGAAAGGCGTACCCGCCGACGTGTTCGAGCGGCTGAAGCCAAAGATTGTCATCACACCAGGTGCGAAAGAACTCTGCAAATGCTTGAAACGACTCGGCTTCACACTTGCCGTGCTGAGTGGTGGATTCCAACCTCTGGCAGACTGGCTCGCTGGTGAGCTCGGTCTCGACCATGCATTTGCAAATCACCTTGTATCAGATGACAAGACCAGCACCCTCACCGGCGAACTAGATCCCGCATACCCGATTGTCGATTCGGCGCACAAGCAGGCCTTGTTGATAAGCTTAGCCAAAGAGAAGAAGATCCCGCTTGCACAGACGATGGCTGTTGGCGATGGAGCGAATGATATTCCCATGCTGAAAACTGCCGGGCTGGGTGTAGCGTGGAAGGCAAAGTCAAAAGTCCAGATGGAAGCGCCTGCGAGACTGAACATTGGCGAGAGCATGCTAGACTTGGTCTACCTGCTGGGATTTACCAAAGAGGAAATCGATCAGCTGCTGAGCGACTAGACACGAATGGCAATGGTCCGGGGGCGGACGTAACAACATACATGTGGAATTGGTCGAGCGAGCAAACACTAGCGGGTTCATTTAAGTCAGCATAGCCAGCACAAGCCCACGAGACGGTCAATGTACTAGTAAGCATCAGATACAACGAATGAGCGAGGAACGAGGGGAGGCTCGGGCAGACCAATTCTGTCCATGGCAGGAATAGATGCTGTTCAGGTCGAACGCATCAGAACAACGAAGTACGAAGCAATACGACGTAATGAACACTCTTGTCCCTATTCGCCGTCTGATCGCCTCAAGCTCACACGGATACTGTATCAGAATGGTCGCCCGCCTGGGACTGAAGCGCCGTGCACGGTGCTAGCCTTCGGTCTTGGGCCGTGAGTTAATTATCGAGTCTTACCATTTCCAATCTGGTGTCTGCTACTGTACGTTGCGCGAGTAACAGAACGTTATGAGAGAGCAAGACCAGAGCCACTCGGAGCAAGGCATAGTATTGCATGGCATAGTATTGCATGGCATAGTATTGCATGGTATAGTATTGCATGGCATAGTATTGCATGGCATAAACGGCCTAATTTACTACATACTCCGTACCCGCACAGCGATGTGGACGATCGAGACGGTGCATAAGGTAGGGTAGATAGGCTTTGTGAATGGGCGCTGAATGGCCGGTGAATGTATGCTGTGCTACAGTAGCTACAGTAGCGTCTTGTTATATTCCCCCTCTCACTACAGTATCTCTCTGTCTCACTCTGTCTCACTCTCTCTCGTCTTGCTTGTACATGGCACACCAATGGTACAGAAGACGTCTGCGCGCGCCCAGAGAGGGAAAAGAAAACAACCATGCACACATCATGCATGTATCGTGCGTTTGCATACCAGGGGGGTGACGGACCGCCGGTTCTCGCCAACATACATACATACCCACCGGCCCACCCACTTCGGCATATCATACAACAATGGAATCAATAGGTCGTGCGGCCAACTCTTGAACACAGTTTCCAAGAAGTGCTGCACAAGGCGGCGCGCTGTTTGTCCTGAAACGCCGATTTTGGCACCAAACTGCCGACACGTCCAGAGTACACAGGGATATATGTACTCCGTGCAAGTAACCAGAAACATGCTCATGCTTCAAAGGACGCCGTCGAAAATGCACAAGATCAGGACCATGCGAGCCACTGGCTGGGATTACGCCGAGATTCTTCATCTTCACAGTCATCTTGATCCTGACCCTTCGTCACCACCAATCACCTCCCCGTCTCCCTTGGTTATGCTGAACTTGTCGAAATCAGCAGTGAGTACGAGGTTGCCCATGCCAACATCCACTTTTGGAGATGTGGTGTTGTCCGATGTCTGTGAAGTGAAGAACAACTCCATCCGCTGTTGTGCATTCACTGCGACGCTCACAGCTTGCGATTCCTGTAAGACGTAAAGGACTACGAGCTTGGCAAATTCCAGTTCCTTGTCGCTCACGGTTGGAGACTGGGCCACGGTCGTTGGTGCGGAATTGCCTTGTGATGTCGACGAGGTTGCGGAAGCGGTAGGAGTGCTCGTTTCATCAACGCTGGCGACGGCGGAGACACCAGTAGCGACAGGTGTGGTTGGTTCTATTGCGCCTATAGTAGGAGAGCTCTGTGCGAACACGATGCCGTTGGAAGTTGTTGTACCCGCTGACTCGCCCTCTTGCCTTCTCTCAAGATGTTCTTTCGAGCAATCTGATTCAGCACGAGCCGTGATCTGTGGCGGCTGGGGCAGGCGATTGATAGCAGGCGGTTGTGGCTCAAAGCCCGGTACCACCACGAAGCGCTTTGCATTCGCCCCTTGATTCAAAGCGCTTGAATTGAAGTCAACCATAGAGTTCTCACTGGTGCATGAAAGATTGTTAAAAGAGAATATCGATAATATCGTCGAGACGTTCAGGGGAATGTCGAATCGTATCTGTGTATCTGTGAGAGATGGAAGGATCGAAGACCCTATTGTTGCGTTTTTATATTCGATGTTGCCGTCGTTCAAGGTGATGGTCATACAGTCGTCTGTGTTGCCAGACGTTTCGCACTGACTCCCGGTGAAGCCATTCGAGCATACGCAGACACAAGCATTGTTGCTGACAATGCTGGTGCCTCCATTTCCACAAGGATGGTTTGAAGCACAATTGCTGAGCTCATTGCTGTTCTTGTGTTGGTTTGGAACAAGTATTAGAAAGATCGGTATTAACACGGCCGCGGCGATAAGGACGATGCTAGCGATAATGACGATGATGAAAACAGGTAGTGATAAGCCGCAGCATTTTCGCCGTTGCTTTGCCGGCTGCCCCCTGGACAGGTCCGTGGTTGAGGCGTAGGCATCGCTCTTCTCGCCTAGAGGCCAGGCAGTGTCTCTTTTGGTGGGAGTACCACCTATTGCCGGAGCAGGGAAAGCTGATAGCATGTCTGACATGGTCGAATGGCGATTTGTCGCACCGCCCACACCCACACCCAACTTTTCACTGCTTCCGAACATATCCAACATACCCAACCTGCTCGCGGTCTTGCCTCTGTCCAGATTGGCAGCCAGTCTCGTAGCCCGCTTGATCAGATCTGCCAAGCTCGTTGTGCTCCCGCGGGATTCAGCTTCCCTGACAGCGTCCATGTCGAGTCTCGGCGGTCGTCGACTGGCGGGAATCTTGTCGCTCATTGACGGTTGCTCGATGCCGAGACCCAGCAAAGGGTTTGTGGATCTCTGAGAATGCACAGAGCCCGGCGTCTGGCCAAGCATCTTTCCGGATACAATAGTGTTGGGTGACTTTGGTGTTTGTAGAAACTCTCTATCTGCAGACGGGGAGGGAGGGGGTGATGTATCAAAGGGCATCCTGACGGGGGTGTGGCCGCGGGATACAGGTGTCCCTGAGCGCGACCCAATATGCGGCGCACTGCTCATGCCAGCAGCTACAGCCGCGCTGAGTGCTTCCATCGTTGCTTTTCTGCTGACGTGGGTTGGTGGAGCTGGGAAATTCTCCGGTATGTTTGGTTCCATCTGGCTCTCCCTGTTTCTTATGGTTGTGATGGCAGGCTTTGCTCGTTTGCCCAAACTCGCCTGCCGGACTATCTGCTGTGTTGGGTCAGGTGAGTAGCTCTCATCGGAGTCCAGGCCGCGTGCCTCTGAACCGAATCGCTCTTCGAGACCCAGAGCCTCGCTCTCAGCATAAACCGACCCGGAATATCTCTTCGAGGTCGGTGTTGGGAAGCCCCGCGATCTGGAGCCGGGCGTGGTTTCTGGAGTAAAATCATTCACGACTGAGGACAGGTAGGATTCATGTCCGTTGTACTTCCGCCCCGGTGACTGCTGCCATGGCTCCTGCCTGGATCTGCTGGAACTAGATGCTGGTATTGGAGGCGCAGCAGGGAACTTGAATTCTTGTACTAGCATGCCATTGCCGGTAGTTCGTTGTGGTTGTATCGGGCGTGCCGGGCTGCCATATCTCACTGGAGGCGGCGCAACGCCCACGCCAGCAGGGACCTGCCGTGCGCTGAGCTTGACATTCGGCGGCACCCTTACAGACGGATGTGGAGGGAACTGCTGATACTGCGAAGGTTGGGCGTAGTTTGGCTTAGAGTAGTGGAAGCGGTTTTCGGCCGACTGCGATGTCTTTGGTCTGGAGGCATCCATGGTGGGTTCTCCAGAAACCCGCGTGTGTAGAAGGCAGCTCGGCTTCAGCTGAGGCGGATATTGGCCTCTTTACTGTTCACAGGACAATTTTGACAGAGGCTCCGAGGCTCTAGCACGGCACATGCATGGTTCGTGAAGAGTGTTTGGGAAAAGGAAATGGGTGTTCGTAAGGCGGAAGTGCCACTCGTACAAGTCTCACTGTTATTCGAGAAGAACGAAACCTAGAGGCTATGGTGTGCGGTCAGCGTCATTCAGTAGATATCCCGCTCCATTGCGTTTGTTCCGTGATTATTCCAACCCTGTGAATCCGCGTACCTGAAGCTCTAGGAGCACTAATGTTGTTGCGACACCAACTCCGTTTCTTCAGCTGTGCAGGGTTTCGGGTGTCGCTAAGTGGAAGCGGGCGTCAGAACTGGCTGACGCGGGTCGTCGTTCGGTAGTGATATGGCTGGGTACGCTGAAGAAAGTCGCAGACTTTTGCGGTACATCAATCGGGAGAGACAAGGTGCGGGCGTCGAGTCCGTCAAGCGTCAAGAGAAAGGAGGCCACGGTCCGGCGAGCGGGCGATGTTGTTAACGAGTGTGGAAGGTTGTGAGCAAGAGCGACAGAGGTTCAATTGCGCAGCAATGAAGGTCAAAAACGAGTGCTGAGTTTCTATCCAACTGACGCCACCGATTCAGTGTGACTACGCTCAAGAGGCAGTCAACGAGGAGGCGAGGAAGAAACTGGGAGAGCGAGCGGAAGCACGACCACAGGACGGCAGAACGATAAGCAACGGAAACGAAGGTCAAGTGTGAAAGTGAGTGTAACAGAGAGCGAAGTGTGAGAGAAGCCGTGTCAGGAGTTGATGCCGACACCAGCCAATGCATGAATCGGGACTGGCCTCGATATTGCACAGCCGTTGAGGCCCATTATCGTGGGAGCGTTGTGCTCAGGCTATCCTGGTCTGGCCCTAGCCCGCTCAGGCACCGACGCCCCATTGGCTCCCTCAGCCAGAAACCGGCACCAAAAAACGTGCCTAAACACGTTCGCCTGCAGGTCCTGGGCTTGAAGCACGGCGAATCCCCACCCGCAGCACGGCTAGCGGGGCTCTGAAACACAAGCTTCCATGCGGCCTGCCGGCGACGCACCCCAAGACCCTTGCTTGACTGCGCTCCTGCGCTCTCGAACTTCGATCCAGTCACGCCGTTCTGCGCATAGAACGGTTTCGAAGACATGGTGGGATCCCAGCTGGTGCAGGGAACGAATCACGAGATTGATCCAACAATAAATCATTTGACAGGCTCTGCGGTCAACGACGTCCTGTGCGATAAGGCTCTAATTAGCACAGACGGGTCCTCCGTCGAAAGGCCATCTTCTACTCGTCGTCAGCCGCGCCCAAGCGGCCAGGTGGCCGCCTCCGAGGTCTGATGGCACTAGTAGGAGGTGGAGGCCAGAGCAGAGACACGGCCCCTGGATGTGCTCATGCTCTAATACTGTGTGCTCCGTGCACGGAACATGTATCACTGCGGCCATGGCTGCTAGCCGTGTACTTCTGATCCTCATTGCTCGCTGCGCGTCACGTTGTTGAGCTGCTCAATCAGCCTGCACAAAGTCGACGAGAGCGGCGTGGCAGGCTGAAGTCCGTCACTTTAGTGCTTGCACTCGTGCCTTTTTAGTGGAGCAGCCAGCCTCTACTCGTATTTTCGGCGAGCTCGGCTTCGAAAGTGGATTTTGCTCATTGCTGCTGAGCTTCTTTGCCATTTTGGCTCCAATCTTAACCCCAGCCAGACGCCATATCAACTCCACCGGACACCACTTTATCTCTCTCATCAAGATCAACCCAATCTCATCGCGATGATCTCGGATCCTAAACCCCGTTCCTCAAAGACTGATCCCGATGCCTTCATTTCAAATGCTGGTCAAACTTGCTGCTGGATGGGTTCGTTTCCTGAGCTAGGGCACACGCGATGAGAGAAATAGTCGCGCCCAAGATGTCCACACAAGGTCACGGCCTGGCGAGTTGCACCCCGTACGGGTAAGAATGGTTCATGCTTCTGAGTACTCCGTAAGAGCGCCTCATACACGATGCATGTAGTAACAATCGCATGGAGATGTTTCCCTGATGACCTTGTTCCGCCAGGCAATTCCGACCACCGATTAAGACACAATTATTGCTTATCGCTCATCACCGACAATCTCTCGATCCCACGTCTGGACGACTGTATACCTTGTCTCCGACCTCGCTCTTGGCCTTTGGGTAGGAACGTCCAACATGCCACAGGGCTTGCTCGGCCGGCCGCGCCCATAATCGTTCTGGAAGTAATACATGGACACAATCTTCTCCCTGGTGTTTGACTCGGTGCCCAAATCCCACCTGTCCGAAGCCCACACTGGCACCATGCTCCAAGTGTTTGCGCCTGGGCCGAGACCCATTCTGACAGTCGTCGCCCATCCCACCCGTTGCCCGACGTCGGGCTTTTGGCTTTGCCATTTGGGGTCAATCATCCAATACACGGTCTTGCTTCCTCCCGATCTGCCACTTCGCAGCTCACAAGCTAGAACCAGACGAGAGATGTATGAGCTAAGGCGCCACACAGACTGATATACTCGTTGATCGGGGCGGGGGCTTACTGAAGAGGGCGCCTTCCACTCTGTTACCATAGAAGGAGTCGTCAGTCCCTGGCTTTTTCACTGTGGAAAACATATCAGGCCTGATATCCTTTCTGTGTTGTCTAGGAGTGCCATCAGAGAAGAGCAGGACCATTGATCTCCTTGGGCCTGCTGAGCAGATGTAGGTGTATTCTCCGCTGGGATCGCTCATTGTGAATAGTTTTTGAACGAATCTGAATCCAAATGTCTCAAGAAGTGTAAGGTCCGTGCTGCCAATATTACGCGCAGGGAAAGCCTCATTCTTATAGACACGACTGCTCTATCCGGTGGCGCCTTCATTGACAGGACTTGTCATCGAGCGGATAAGTGGGTGACCTGGATCTGGATGTGTGGTCAAAGTGCAATTAGGCATGGTTCAGATCCGTGGACAATCAGGCTCGTCAGGTCTCGCTTAGATTGCTCCTGCAGCGCTCTCAGACTTCAGCACCACCGAGTTGGGTCCGCACAGGCATATCCCGCGCTCTGTCGTTTACTCCGCTCCTCCATTGCATTGGTCGTACAAGCTGTGCTTCTTCGTCTGTGACAGGGATGTTCTGCGATTGGAAGGTCAAGCCTTGGATGCAAGGGTCAGAGGCTCAGCAAGGTCAAAACTTGGGTGTGCAACCCGACATTTTCGAAGATAATGCAGAGCAGCAAGCCAGTCACGCTCATCAGACGATCGATGAGCTGGAGCCACTTCCAGCCATGCCGTGCTGTGCTGTCTCGCTTTGAAGAGCAGGGTTAGGACGAGCTTCCAAGCTTGCCAAGCGCCTCGAATACGAGAGTTAAGCTCAGCTCGAGGTCTCGACCTTTCAGGGCCCAGGCAGCACCTTGTATCATATGGCCAACACCAAATACCCCAGGGTTCGAACAATGGCGAAGTGATGCTCAAGAATAGAACACCCTCGACCACCCGGCAGGGGAATATTTGAGTCCTGATAGAATCATGAACGATCGTTTCCTGGAGCGCAGTGGTGACAGAGAAAGCAGATTTCACGTCAACTGGTACCTCGTATATACCACAGCAAGTTTACGTGCCCTCAGCTCGATGTGGCTCACCTGAACTACACTTGGCTTTGCATCGGGAGAGCTCCTTACTGGCCGGAAGGCGAGGACTTCCTGTATGCACCACCAGCACCCCGCCTGGCATGCCACCAAGTCGGGAACAGCTTCTACATTCTTCTCAGCCCTGTGCCTTTCGTTGGTTGGCGTTCCCAGCTTGTGCATGGGACATGCGAGGTCAGGTTGCAGGACTCGTTCGACACTCACGCAGCATGCGACCATTCCAGTGCTCGCAAACTCGGTTATGTGGGCAGCGCCTGATCAGCTTCCAAGGATATATGCATGGCAAGTCGACTTCGAAACCGATTGTCTGGGATATCAGGCTGCCACACCTGAGTGACATGACCTCGGAACCCTGCAGGTTGCGAGTAATGGCCAGCGCTTGCGCGAACGCACGGAAATCCAGCTTTTGTTGCCAATGAGGCTGGCCTCAGATTACCCACGAGTCCACGACAACAACAATGATAAATGGAAGAGAAAGTCGACTCTTTATGGTCCCTCGTCTTGAGCACGGCTACGCGCCTGAAGAATGTGTCACACGTCCGCGGTGCCCTCATTCCTGTGCAACCTTCACAACCTTCACCTTTTCGCGTGTGGGCCACATAGAACCATTGTCGCAACCCGCCTCGGGCTGGTAGACTCGGTGCTGTAAAACAGCTGATGGATGGTTGCGACAGCGAAAAACCTGGTTCACGTTGTCCCCTGGACGACACTTCGTCGCCAACCTAATATGGGTATAGTAATCGTCTGCTTTACTTTCCCTTCACCTTGATCTCCCGTCTTGCAATTTCGATCGGGCACTTGCCTCATGGTGAAATCTACTTTCTACACCATTTAATTTTAACATATATAGATCCCATCCCAGGTATTAAATGCGCCTGCTCATTCCTCTGAGCGAGAGCGGCTGCTGCCAATGTCAGACTGCTTTCTCGAGCATGGCTTTCCACGTTCTGCTTCTCGTCGTGGCAAGAGCCGCTGAACTCAGGTTGAACTGTTCTCAACCCGAGCATCACCTGAACTTCTTCATTATTTCATTGTCTGCCTCTGGTTGCAGATGTCCGCTCGTTGTTGTTTACTACACTCCTTTACTCAAATTACCGTTGAGCGATACCACATCCTTTCCACCCTGAATGCTCGTTAGCATGGATCATTCACCTGGGTCGTTGCCATCGAGCGACTCGTCCGGCAAATCCACGCACTCTGGTTATCCCCCGGGTACTCCAAAGCGTGAGTGGTCTTGAGATTCGTGCTTCGGACCTGTTGACTTATCGGTTTTATACTCATCGCTCTGCATCTCTAGCACCAATCGAACCTCCCCGCCGACGGTCTTCGCTATTCTTTTCCAAGGTACTCCACCACTCGCACTCTCCGAGGACACCTGTTGGGGCCAGTGCAGAGCCTTGCTCAGATCAGAAACGTGAGCCAAAGGGAGCATTGCCCAACACGGGGCGGAAAAGAATATCTTCGCCACTAACGAAATCCATCGTCATGCCTGGTCATGTCGCACAAATGCAGAGGCTATTCCAGAACGCGAAGGCTTCCTTGCGCCTAGATGTCCGCTTCGCATCTTCCCCAGTCGGTTCCATCGATTCGAGACTACCGAATAGTCCTGAAGAGGCCACAAATGATATTACCGAGACAGGTCTACTCGTCGATGTCAGAAAAGAGCCGCCAACAGAAACACCATCGAAGAATTGGAGGTACTCAAGAGCTCCCGGTTCTCTCGCAGGACTTGATACGGACGTCAGAGAGCCTTTTCCAGAAGGCTCACCACAACTTCCGGCAATGCTCCCGTTGGCTGTCGGACACAGCAACGCCTTTGTCGCAGAACCAATGAGCAGCGGGTTTACTTCCCCTCTTGACCAACCCAGCTTCAACTTGCAGGTGGAAGACGTGTCTATTGTGTCATCACCACCTATGCCTCCAGACTTTGGGAACGAGTCTGAGGTACCGGGTAGTCCATGTCCAGGAGAGGATATGTCGGCGAGTGTATTGGAGCATCCGCTGACCAAGCTCCGAGTGGACGACGACCATGAGATGGATGTTGACTCAGCCGATGAATCACCTATCATCACCCATCTGAAGCGGAAATCTGTAGACGTGGAGGACAAGTACCGGGAGACATCATCTGGGTCAGAAGAGAGGATCGTTCTGTCTCCCTCGGCTAGGGCTGCAGCTAATTCTGCAAAGCTGAAGCGAGGACTGTTCACCGACCTGTTCCCTCAGCCACCAACGCACAAAGGCAGTAGTGACGGCACCCTGTCCTCCTCAAGCGACGCACAGAACTCTAGCAAACGATGTCCAGACCCTCTTTTGCACGAGGGTGGACCAGCGGTGCTATGTCCTGACCCGACAGCTCATTTCGTGTCCCATGTGCCGAATATTGCCGGGCACCACAACGCCATCCCCGTTCCCAATGCATACCCAGGCCAGCATATAGCTTCAAGTGGATTTGGGCATCCTGCTGTGCACTTCAACCGTGCCACCGCGACAGGAAGCCCATTGCCTCTTCTGAAAACTAGGCCACCGCCAGCTTCAACAATGGTCGGGCGGGGCCAAGGTTCATGGTATCCGCCAACCGAGTTCTTGACCCGTCCTCGGCCTCAACACCGATACCATCCTCACCACCTCAATTCCGCGTATATCTCTACGGCATCCGAACACTTTCAGCCAGGGTGGTATTACGCGAAAGACAGTCCCCAATCATCACCAAGGCCTCGGCCCGCAATGTACTCTTTTTCAACGGCAGCAGCTAAAGTCACCGGACACGACCCGGCGCCTGACTCCATGATCCGTGACTCGTACAGAACAGACACCTTGACACCACTAGCAAAGCCGCCAAGCCGTTTCAGGAAGAATGGTATGAGTGCCATTGCGAGTGCCCGAGGTGCAAACAAACACCATGGTGGTGCACCATTTCTGTCGAGACCTCCGCAACGTCGCATGCACTCTATGAGAGCACGGTTGCCAGACAGTCTCAAATTCAGAAGCAGCCCACCACGGTCTTTCGTGGATCCTGCTCAGGTGTCACAGCCCAGGAAGAGGTCCCGCGATCTCGTGTCGCCAACCACTGGGATCCTTGAGGATGAGACGGCGCAGAAGGTGCTGGTAGAGCCTCGATTACGACTCGAGGAAGGCGAGGAGATGATTGAAGTAGACGAAGAAACACGCGCTGCCGTGCGAATGAGTCTCTTCGGTGCTGCGACTCCAGAGACTGGCAGCGAGGCTGGAAGTGGGCTGAAAGAGCTGAGTCCTAATGTCATGCTGTACAGAAAGGGTACTGGACCATCTGGTAGCCGAAAGAAACGACGACCCAGCTATTGGGATGGAGACCTTGAGGAAGTGGTTCGGAGTCCGGCGGCACGGCATGTTGTTTCGTCACCAATCAAGAAGGACGATGTGAGATCTTTGCAAGCGGATGTCGAATTCCATGACGATGATGCCGACAAGGAAAACCACATGCAGGCGGCTGATAGTGAACGCCAAAACGTCGGAAGGCTGGCAGAGCGCCCAATGGCTTTGCAAAATGCCATCGGGGTGGAAAGTCAAGACATATGCGGCAACAACTAATACCACCGACAGGATATCCGCACGCACGATGCTTGGTGAGAAGTTGACGTGCCCAAGAGCAGGGAAAGTGGTCCACTTCTTCACTCGGTTGTCTTTTTGAGACTACAAATACAATCCCTCAGTCGCTTGTTTCGTCCCAAACAATTGCTTGATGTGCTGTCGTGCTTCGATTCCAATACAGTCTGATATTTCCACCGCGTATTGAACACTGTCGATTTCAGCAGGGGGAAGAGATCGATACCATTCGGCTCAGTCCAGTTTCAAAACCCTGGATCGCGGCTGAGGTGACATACCCCCTGAGGAAGTGGACAATAGACTCGATGGATTCTTGGCCGGTGAAGCCTTGGACCTAGACGATGTCAACTCCAAGGCTGAAACAGACGTCTCTGGCTCATGATCTTGAGGGCTAGGTCTGGAATGATTCTTCATGCCTTCTTCATCCAGATTGTCGGCTATGTCACTGGGGTTGTATTCGTACTCGTCGAGGATACCCAGCTCACGTCGAATTGTCCAGATCTCATCCTCTACGCTTCCCATTGAAAATGTAGTGTTCAAGAGTTCTGGCATCACAGAGGAGACGGCTGTGGCGAAGTGGTCCTGACACGTCCGTAACGCTGGAGGGACCAGGATGCCGTACCATCTAAGAGGGTCTTTCGTGGGGAGTAGGGAAGTCTCGACTGAAAGGTGATGAGTGTACAAAGGCAGTTCGCTGTCAATACCATCCTTTAACTCTTGTTCGTGCAGCTCTGGCTCGCTAGAGTCCTGCTTGGGCGCGTCGCTAACCATGACCTCAGACAGCTGTGGCTTGTTTTTTCGTTTAGATAGATCTTTCTTGTCAGAGTGCTGTATCGTCTCCCCGGCCGCCTCTAACTCGACACCCTGACCACTTCGGTCCCTGTCAGTCCGTTCTCCTCGCTTGATACCGACTACCCTCCTTGCTTTCATCCTATCGTCGAATCCTTCCTCGCCATACCTTCTCCCTGCGCCTAGTGAGGAGTCCGCATACCGGTTCGCTTGCGCGAGCGCGAAGAACCCGGATGAGAAGTCTCTGCCGAGCCGAGCGCGGAGGGTGGTGTATCTGTCCAGGAGGGAGAGGTACTCGATCAGGAGGAGGTCAAGCCGGGACGAGAGGGACTCGCCGTCATCGGCGGCGGTGTTGGATTTAGAGGTCGAGTCAGGCGAGCTATCACGCGAATTTGGAGGCGATGGAAGCGTGGACGCCATACTGCTTCTCTCGGAGCATGTCACGCTCAGGTTTTGGCTTGCGGAAAGTTCGTCTTATGTGGGAGACGCAGCCTTGCAGAGCGAAGAGCTCGGTCGGTTCGGACGTTCCAGGCCGAGCATTGACGCAATCTACAAACTGCGCGAAAGATTGGAAGCAGATTATTGTCACGCTCAACTCTTCCTGCTCTCATCAATGTAAATTCTGCCACCGCGCAAATACGTTGATTCTCAAAAGACCCCAGCGCTCCTCCATAGGATTTCGTGTTTCCAAGAGTGTTGCCACGAGCGTTACGACTAAAGCACCTGTCTCCGCTAATTCTCTCTACGAATCTAACCTCGAGTTCTCCCTCCGCTCCCTTCGCGGCCTGCCTGCTTTCCAGAAAGACAGCGCGCTCGCAGTGCCACCAGGCTCCATTTCGTTCCTCGAACGTCTCCAGGCTCCTGCTGGACATCCCATCATTTCCCATGGCCTCCTCCGCTCTGGCCACCACGGCCGACACTTCAGCGTACAGTGTCCGATCTTTGTATCGAGCACTATTACGGCAAGGGAATCAGTTCGCAAACTACAACTTCCGGATGTATGCGAGGAGAAGAACAAGGGATGCCTTCCGCGAACACCAGAAGGAGTCGGATCCTAGAAGGATACAGGAACTTGTCCAGAACGGGTTGAAGGAATTGCAGATGCTGAAGGTGAGTGCTGCACTTGCAGAATGGCGAAGTAAAGGGCTATTGGAGAGGAATATCCCTACATTCTCTTGTGCTTTGGGACTTGGTTGCGTCTTGGGCCTTTTCATGGACAAGGGCTGACTGTAGGTGCTACAGAGACAAACGGTGGTATCACAATTCTACCAGCTCGACAGACTGGTCGTGGAAGGAGGCAAAACTGTATGTGCTATTCTCTTTTCTGGCAACACTCTTCATTGACAAGTACTTCCAGGGTCGTGAAAGTGGCGATCATGGGGGGATTGTACGACAGAAAGACACAGGGTATGTTCATTCTGAGTCACTACCTGTCAGGTCTCACTTTGCTAACTGTTGCCAGATGGGACTGACAATGCTGTCCTTCCTGGCCTCTCTCCGTCGTCTTGTATGTGGCTGTAAATGGATGGGTCCTGTCTTCCAGGCGAATTGTGTATGCCCTCCTGTGTGATACCATAGCTATACCACTCTGTCTGTACACCTGCATATTCCCCCTGTACCTTCCTCTTACAGTTCAGAACATCGAAGCTGTCGTGATTGTTCCCGTCGTACTCCGTACATCTCATCGCCGTATCCATCATGCCTGTGCATTGTAGCGTTCCACACCAAGCTCATTATCGGTCTCATGTTCTTCCATCCCCGAAAGATGGGTCAGTTCAGTATTAGCGCCGGCCTATCCCGACGCTAGTACTCCTAGCGCCTTTCCGTCCGCTGGGCCATCCTCTTTTCGATGAACCTCATCTTGCGCTCGTGTTTGTTCTTCATTTCCAATTCTCACTGCAACCACCACGACTCAGCACCGGATATCTTTGTAGGTATCGCCCTGGCACATGCCGCACCCGCTGTGCTCTAGTCCCAACATCGCTGAACAGTTTCCAGACATCAATACGCGTTTGCACGACGGTGTTGGAGAGGGAGGAATTTGAGAGTGATCATGGCGCCTGTAAGTCGTGTTTGTCGAGCCTGAATTCTTGTCACGCATCTCAAGCAACCACACCACATTGAATTACTGCCCGACCTTGCCAAGCACAACGAGGGGAGCAACGAGGGGGATGTTGTTATTTTTTTATTCTGTGTCGACTGTCATCCTCGCCGACCTTTCGCTCTTTCTCTTCAGCGACCTTCAGCACCATGTCTAAGGACAGGGAGTGCGTTGCCTGTAACAAGGCATATCAAGACAATACCTCGTCGTATCGTCATTTCCGGGATCACCACCCTCGGCTCACTGGGGGTCTATCGCACAGAGATGGCTGGGGGTCGATCCTCCTCCTTCGAGCCTGAATGGCTGTGTTTGGCGGCCTTGCGTGTCTCCTCCGGGTGCTCTCCCTCCATCTCTCCCTGTCCTCTCTCCTCCTCTCTCGCCCTTTATTCCTCGTTTCTTCTCTCCCGTTCTCCCTCCTCCTCTTTCTCCCTTCCCTCTCCCTCTTTGTCCTCCCCCCCCCCCTCTCTTCTCTTCCTGCTCCCTCTCCTTCTCCCCCACCTTGTGCTCCTCCGCATCTTCCTCCGCCCCCACCTCCTCCTCCACTTTCCCGCGTTGGAGGTGCCGTTGGCTTACGGCGTCCTCGCGAACAGCTTCGCTCCTCACGTAGTACGCGCAACCAGGACCACACGCCGAGAAATCGAGGGGGTGTCCCAGACTTTGACCCAACCGAGGGTCTCCCGGTGCGGCGTTGGGAGCGGCAGACTGTCCGGGTCAACCAGGATGCGTCTGCCGATGCAAGCGAGTCAAATGCCCAGGCAAATGACAAGGACAGCGACTTCCCGTGGCCTGAGCAGCCACTTCCTTCTTTCTTCTCGCAGCTCGCACCACACAACCAGGTACGGCACCTATTCCAAATCACTCAGTCTACAGCTTGTTAATGCGTGGAAATAGGAACTGCTCCGCCGCGCCCGGATGGGCAACGTCAACGCAAAGCTCTCAGTCTGGGACCCAAAGACAAACTCGTACATCCCCGGCATTGAACTCGAGCGCCGCGAGGCTGCCCGAAAGATGGCTCTGAACAAGCCCAAACACACCTCTATCATCAATCCTGACGAGACACATCCACTCGAAGACGACGATGACAAGCCAGACGACGACCCAGACGATCTTCTCGACGCTGAGGGTCTTCCAGAGAAACGCCGCAAGACAGCATCAGGCTCGGCGGAACGCGTCATCGAAGTCAAGAAATGGGTCCAAGTCCCCCTCGCTGTGGCCGAGAAGATGCCCGAGCCGAAATACCTCGCAGATCGCCGGCCAGGCATGGAATCTCTCTACAAAGGCGCCTACAAGGCTACAAACGGCTTCGGCACACTAGGAGACATGGGGGCTGCGGCCACGAGTGGTGCGACCGCAGGGTATGACCTTGGCGACCCGACTAGTGCGCTTGCGGGCGGCAGTGGATCTGGCCCTCTGAACGGTGGAGCAGATGGCGCGAACGTCGACGGAACAGCAACACCTGCGCGCAAGAATATCCCGCCTCGTCGTAAGAAGAAGGGTGGGCCAGGACGGCGCCCGAAGAACTGGAAGCCACCGACCGATCCTAACGCCCCACCCTCGAATGATACCACCACGGCCGAAACGGCCGCTGGCGCGACGGCGGGAGATGGAAGAGACACGACCATGGATGATACGCCGGCTGCATCTGGAGAACGCGTCGGCACTACCGGTGAAGGACCCGCTGTGCAGAGTGAGGCGAACAATCAAGACGGAGATGGAGACGGAGACGGCGAAGGCGAAGGCGAAGGCGACGGCTCAGGGTCCGAGAGCGAAGGGGAAGGCAGTGAGGAAGGCGAGATTGCTCCTGCTAATGCACCGGTCCAAGAAGACTTGGCCGAGAATGTTGTACCCGAACCTGTGGTGGAGACTGTGGTGGAGACTGCGGCTGCCGTCGTTGTTGAGCCAGAACACGCTACCGAGAAGGAAGAAGAAGAAGAGAAACAGGGTGCTGAAGATGTCGTTGTCGCTGATGTTGAGACACAGGAAGTCGCCACTGAGAAGGACGCTGAGAAGACGGAAGAAGTTGCGACGGGCCTGGAAGTGGACGTGCTTGGTGCCCTAGAGGCTGCAGTCGATAAAGAAGCAGGCCAGAGCGCTGAATGACGAAGACACACGAAAGGATCAACGGCAATGGTATTATTGATGCCGCTGCTAAAAACATTGAACAACGATGTTGGATCATGGATGATGCAGGAGCGACAACAGAAAACAGCAGAGGATAGATCGCGATACCCTTTCAATGCACAATGGAATTGGATTTTTATGGATACATTGACGGGATTAAGCTGTTTGGCCCCCAGCCTTCCAACTCCCATCCCTCATTGATTCATGTTTGCATTGAAGCAAGTACCAATTTCTGGCGACGATTGGAGCATTCATCTACTTTACACAGCTACTTTCCCTTTCCATTGTGAGTTCTGTGCTCTTCTCTTGTCGACTCATTTAGTCGAATGGGTTGGTCCGGGTGCCCCAGTATGTGAGGAACAAGCTGAGGCCGACGGTCTCGAAGACGCGGGTGAGAACGCCAACAGCGACAGTGTCGAGAGGTCGCTGCTCAACGACAACCTGGGAGACGAGCTGCGAAGAAACGTTAGTATGAAGTGGCACTTTCTAGTTTCGTAAGACCTACCGATGGAGAGTATGTAGCAGCGAAGATCAGACCACCCAAGTATGCAGCTCCCTTGTAGGACAGAGTACCGGTAGCATTGATCAAGGCAGCGACACCATATGTCTGGATAGCAGAACCGACAATCGAAGAGCCCCAGCTAGCGGCCGCAGTCGCGGTCTCCTTGGACTTGAAGAATTCCTCCTTGCTGTCCGCGGCCTTCGCACGGTTGTAGGTATCACCGAAGAGAGGGGCCAGGACGCCGGCGGAGGCGGCTTGGTTGAAGACGATGCCGAGGGCGATCGCTGAGGGCTTGACAGGTGGGAGGTCTAGAGAAGCAGGAAATTATTAGCTTGATACTCCTTGGATGAGTTGATGATCTCTTGCCGAAGAGGTGAGGTTGGTTTGAGCTTTCGGGAGTGACGTATTGAGATCACCAGCGCAAGGAGGGTAACGTACAGTGTAGTGTGGCCATTGTGATAGTAGTGTGTGTTTGTGTGGGTGGGAGGTGTTCGATTGAGTCTTGCTAAGATCGAAGGTTGATTGCAGTCGCTTTGGGTCTGAGCTGAAGAAGAAGGAAGAGATGAAGTCAAGGTCAAGCTTATAAGGAAGGAGCCTGTGACGTGCAGGAAGGACCGAGTGACTTGAAACTGGCAGCTGTGGCGCAAGAGTTGACCAGCAACAGAGAGCCGTCCCACTGGTCGAACAGCACAAACAATGACGACACGTGGGGATCGTAGCTGTAATTTTCAGTATGAACGACCTCTTGACAGAAATGAAGCCAGCCTTAACCTCGGTTATCACATTGTAATGACCAGCTCAATGGGTTTCTTCCCAATGATGTCAGTGCCGAGGATCGTTCCTGAGCACCTGACGTTAACCTTGTTGAAGTACGTTCTCCAAGCTTCCAGTGATCGGGGTTTGGGCTCCGACTTCGAGATCCTCTTCATGCTCTCTGGATCCCCGGCTCTGGAGCTCAAATTTACGAAAATGGATGTCGACTGAGGGACAGCTTTGTGAATGCTTCAAGTTACCTCATAGTAACAGTCAGCTAAGACTTACCCCGGATTATCAGTCCGCCAGATTGCTGTCCAATCATTTCCAATGCCTGGTATCCGTCCTCGCCTCGTTATCAGCAGCCTTGCTGCACATCAGAGCCTCGCCCAAACTTTCTGCGCTTTTGGTTTCCCTGTCTGCAATAATCGCCGCTCGATTGAGTGTCTAAAAGTAGGCTCCTACCACTATTGATAAGGCTACGAGCCTTCAGTTTGGTTTCTTCCTGAGAACATCGGTGACTCGATTAAGTCAACATCATGCGCAGCTGATTTTGCTACTGTCTCACAGAACTCATTAGCTCAAGCTAGAAATCATCTCATTCTCGCGCTCAACCATGCCGGCATCCCGGTTACCCTCGCCCGAGAACGATGTTTTCGCCATTGACACCACTCTGGTCCCAGAGCGCGACAACAAAAAGCCCTCCACCACAGCCATCACATTTGACAATCTCCTCCCAACAGACAAACCTCTCCTCCTTCACGAAGATCTTCAAGAAGGATGCGGTGGCCAGCTCTGGCCTGCCGGCATGGTCCTGTCCAAATACATGCTCACATACCATTCCTCAGGCTCTCTCAGAGGCAGGTCACTTGTCGAGATTGGTGCGGGCGGAGGACTTGTGGGGCTGGCAGTCGCTTTGGGTTGTGAGCTTAACGATGTCCAGAAAATTTATATTACAGACCAAATACCCATGCTGGCATTGATGAAGAAGAATATCACGTTGAACAAGCTCGAAGACAGAGTGGCTGCGGAGGTATATGACTGGGGCACTGCGCCTCCGGCGTCTATTCTCCCGTCCGGCTCAAGACACCCAGACGTTGTCCTTGCAGCGGATTGTGTCTACTTCGAACCTGCATTTCCGCTACTTCTACAGACGCTTCGTGACCTGATCGGTCCGTCAACGACGTGTTACTTCTGCTTCAAGAAGAGACGAAAGGCCGACATGAGATTCATTCGCGACATGATGAAGACGTTCCACGTAGAATATGTGGATTACGATGGCAAGGAGGGTGATCAAAGACAGGGGATATTCCTGTATTCTGTAATGAGGAAAACGTGAAGGGCACGAGACAAACGGCAGGAAGCTCCCTTTGAATTTGTCACCGAGTGAACACTAAGACCTTGAATTACATTCTGGTATCTGATACATCATCTTAATCATGCTCGTAATCATACATTCGACGATCAAGGTGGATCGCCAGGAGGATCTGTGTTCAACTTCTCATCCTCCATGCCGCGCTGCATAGAACTTGTTCCAAACAAAGGCACCATACTCGTCAACCTCTCTCGGCTCTTCCAAGCCGATCGCAGCGACTCGGACCAGTCCCTCCCCGTCTCACGAAACTTGGATCTCAGCGTTGGTCGAGGGCGCATACCATTCTGACGACTAGTAGTATCGACGACTCCCTCGGCCGTCTGTCCCATGCATGCGTCTCGTGCCGGCGGCCTTCTGGCCCGGCCTTCGGGTAAGACTCCCCTTCAACTTGAGCATCGCACCGGAGACCTTGTCGCTCACGCTGGCCTTGCGGCGTGGAGTGGTAGTGGTGGCAGTCGTCGCCGGTGTGCGTCGCGTGCCGACACGGCGTCTTCGTGTTGGAGCCGCCGTGGTGGTCCTTGGTGTTCTAGTCTTGGGGCCAAAGAGGCGCTGTCTGAGGGTGGGTTTTGTGCCCACTGCACCGGTGCCCCGAGTGCCCCGAGTGCCTCGAGTGCCGCGGGTTCTTGTTGCCGGTGCTGGTTGTTCCACGGTTGTGACTGTAGTGGTGACGGTGGCTCCACCAGCGTGGTGACGAGCTCGTGATCTACCAAAGGCCATTGTGGATGCTTATTGCTGGTATTGTCGTAATGGTGATGGTATAACGGAAAGTATAGACTGTTGGATCTTTGATTTTGTTAATGTCTTCTTTGCTGTGGAAAGAGAAATGGAATCTTGACGCGACCCGGAGTCGACTCTGACGTTTTTATCATTCACCTTTGTTACCTTCTGTAGATGCGATGTGCTTGTGCCTTTACCCATATGACCGGCGACGTCACTCTTCGTGGTAAATAGCACCGGGCTAGCCAGCTCGGTCGGAGGATTTCGCATCCTTTTCATGGCATTTTGACGATCCCAAAGCAAAAAGGGAAGCAGGTTAGGCAGGTTTCCAACTTCGAGCCCTTCGCTTTGAGGAGTTGAACGTAGGATCGTCCACGGTAGCCAATCATCACCCCTGTCGACAGCCACACCAGAAGGGGTCCGATGACGCAGGGCGACATCAGCCGCGACGTGCGCATCTCGATCGTTACCAACTTCTGGGGTGATGCCAGCACTGAGCACGGTGGTCATTGGATGCCACACTGGTTCCTCGTATCGATGCAGGTGGAGGACTTTGGGGAACCTCGTGCGTGTGGCGGTGCTGGTGTATCCTCAGGATTTGATTTCCAACGTAGCTCGGCCAACGGACGTGAGTGTATAAGAGTACAGTACGTCAACACCACGTGAAGCCTGCCACGTTAGATGAAGAGCACGCACAAAACGGCAAGAGTCGCTAGATGGTCCCGCTAGGTGGGCACTGAAGTCGCTAATGGGCAAGCTGCAGCCGTGGCTCGGGTTTGTTTGGACTGACATTAAGTGACCAATTGCCGGCGCCCACAGACACCTACCTCTAGGTACGAAGAAGGGAGCCCGGTCTATCAGATGCTGGGTCTAAGGAGTAAAGACTTTTGCGACTAGGTGAGAAACAGTTCTGAGGTCCACGCCGGGTCTCCCAGCGACACCTCAGGGAGCGCAAGAAATCCAGGTTCGCAGAAGGTTGAAGTCGGCGGTTAGTCCGTCGCAGGATCGCATTCACACGGGAATAAAAAGCAAAAACTTCTACCACAACCTCAACTCATATAGAGGTTGTGGTAAGAGTTCATACCAGCATCTCGTTCCTTGATGGGCTATGTTCTGTGGTGGCCAACCATCCGATCTACCCCCATCTCACGGTCATTTAGATGACCGCCGATTTGACTTGTCAAGTAGGCGAACGAGCTCCGGTTGTTGCTGGGAATTTGTTGTTCGCATCGACCAGGGGGATTGACCAGGGTTTATATTCGTTCGAAATATGGGAGTCGGTGGGATGATTTTGGTTGCTGGTGTTGCCGCACAATATCATCGAACACGCTGCCAGCTCGGTGCTAGCTTGACCTGAGCACGAGAGGATATTGCAGCAGAAATTTTCATACTTCAAAATATATGGGATGAGTATCGATGGGAGTAGATGATTGGTGGGCGTGAGGAAAGATGCCACAATATTGTCGGACCCGAAGTGAAGGATCTTGAAGCGGTCAAAGGTGAGCAGGCACAACGGCTTGCGACATCCATGGCTGCACCCGTTGCCCAAACACAGTGCCCATGTACGTTCAGTCAGGATTTGACTGTCACTGACTCTCTGTCTACAGACTCCTAAAGTGATATTTAAGAGCGAAATTGGAATGGTTGGCAGTTGTTCACAGACGGCGGATGGAGATTGTGCAGCTATGATGTGAGGCGATTGACTCCTACAGGGACTACGGCCACTTGTAATTGGGGAATGTATGATTAGCCACAGGATCAAGACGGATTCGCAATGAGAGACACCGAACATCAAGTCGTTGCTTGGAGTGTGTTCCCTCCCGTTGGCTGATGTTGCGATGTCAGAAGGTAATTGGATTTCCACTGTGTTCATCTTGACTTGTTTCCAGATCCCATGCACCTTACCTTGACCCTCGTTTGAGGTGATCGCTTCGATAACCACAGAATGAGTATCAACACATGGTCTCGATCTACTATGCAGCCAGCCACTGACAAGCATGGCACTGTTTCTGCCAAATCACTCTTTTCTCGTCCTGCCAGAACCTCGGTCGACCGTCAATCCATTGTCCCTCCGAGGGTTACCAAGCCGCGACGGTCCCTTCCTTCAGAGCAGCGTGACTCGAGCCAGTTCTACGGGAAGAGACAGAATGATCCCCGCGTTAGTCTGGCAGACAAGTTTATCGGTGGGTCGTTCACCATCTGTCCATGAGAGTCACTAACCTTTACAAGAAACCCTTGACCGCTATGGCGAGACTCTCCATGACCGGTCTGCAAATGACCTGGAGGAAACCGAGAGGAAGTTGAGCAGCAATCTTGAAGAGCTCGCGCTCGATGTTGAGGCACATTGTCACAAGCTGAGCGAAATCGAAGAGCCCCTGCAGAAACCAATCACCACGGAGGCATTGACAAACGTCCGAAGCGCCGGTAAAGGTGCAGTAGCTGGCACGGAAGAAGTACTGCTGAAAGAGAGCATCTCCGAGTTCCGCAAATTGAATGAAGAGAAGGGACAGATCCTCCGCCAGCTCTGGGAAGAATGGGAAGACGTACAATTGCAGATCATGAGTCTAGCCGTAGAGCTCTACGGCAAGGACTCGCTGCATGTCGTCCAAATGGAGACAGGAACTCTGAAACCGGGCCAGCTCGAGAGACTTCACGACATGTTCAAGGTTGCCAAAACCGGTTACCATGAAATGCGCCGGAACCACGCAGAACTTCAGCGGAGCCTGGACGGATTCGAGGAGGATCTGGGCCAAATATCCAATAAGGCCAAAAACGTCGCCAAGGAAATACACGAGGTATGTACTGCTCGGTGCCTTGATGCCAAATTCGTCTGTAACCATCTGTTCCAGTCATATGTACAGAAAAAGACCGAGAACATGAAGCAAATCACCAATCTCCTGCAGCAATTCACCGAAGATTGAGGATCATGTTCAGGCTGGAAGCTTGGCCTTCATTCCACCCGGCGGACGGTCCGTGTTGCGTCTCCGTGTCTGAGGCTCCGTGTTCAGGTTCCCGTGTTGAATTGATGAAGTACAAGCTGCTCGTCCACGATGTCACGCTGTTAATGAGATCATCCTTACACCAGCTGACCTCGCAACTTTCCACAATGGACTTATTGAAAGTGTGCAAACTATTATCATCGCAATGCGGAACAAACGCGCCTCCCCTGCCCCGCCTCTTTTCTCTGTCGATAACCGCGAATATCCGACACACGTTGGGGGCTATGACGGTGAGCGGATCTCGGAAGAAGCTGCATTTTTCGGGCGGAGCCTGGTTTGTTTCCAATACGTACCACCAATCTGAACCTTCAACTGGAGCTCTCGCAGCATTGCGTGTCGTTATCAGTGTGGCGTCCAGCAGCGAAACTTGCTGTATGGGAAAATTTCAAATGAAAATCTTGCACTCGCGTTCTCTTCAGACGGCCTCTCGACCGGATGTCTACTCCCTGCATATCCCCCTTCGCTTGAGTGGCCGCCGTGATAAGGTCTTGTCACTAAAAGGCGTACAGTAGGGTCCGAACGGAAGTAACTGAAGAAAGCCGGTCGCCTCAATGGACCAAGTAGATTCCCGAAATCACTGCAGCCATATGCAAGCCTTGTCCCACTATGAAAGTTTGCGAGGTGTACCCATGTCTCTGGTCCCCCTCCGAGGCGGTAAGGTCATGCCATCCAGAAGTATATGAGTCACGGAATTCGGTCCATACGCAGTGCCCTCCCTTTCCTCATTCCGCTTCGATTTGCTGCTCTGATCCTTCTGGTTGGGTGGTTGTAATCTTCATTTGTTGTTCAGTCGATACCTATTTCTATCATTCGAAATCATGGCACCGGTAGCCGTTTCTCCTGTGTCTCCCCCGTCACCCACGCTGGACAATACGTCCAAGCTAACCAAAGCGGGAACGGCGACAATCCTCGAGAAGACAATCTCCAATGGACCGAAAGTGGCAGACCTTGACGCCTCGAAACTGACTTTCACGCCCAACCTCAATCCGAAGCCCGTCCCTGCCCCCAACTCGGCTGAAGTATGGAGCCAAAACTACACGACAGACCACATGCTCACCGTCCGGTGGACGGAGAAGAATGGCTGGGAAGCTCCTGAGATCCGACCCTACGGCCCACTCTCCATCATGCCGACAGCATCCGTCCTGCACTACGCGACGGAATGCTTCGAGGGCATGAAAGCCTACCGTGGCGACGATGGCAAAGTTCGACTCTTCCGACCAGATCGCAATGCCAGACGATTCCTCCAATCAGCCACGCGGATATCTCTCCCGGGATTCCCGCCTGAGGAGTTCCTCAAACTGTTGAAGAAATTCGTTGGCGTTGAGGCACCCAAGTGGATCGCAGAACCCGGCAGCTTTATCTACATTCGGCCGACCATGATTGCGACGGCGCCAGCCCTGGGCGTGCAGAGACCGAAGGAGGCACTGATGTATATTATGATGGTCATGTTCCCGAGTCTCGACGACCCGACGTGCAAACCTCCCATGCCTGCTCCTGTGAGTAACGGCGTCGCTGAGTCGAAGCCCTCGGCCCCGCCCAAGGGGATGCGCCTCCTCGCCTCCAAGCACGACATGATCCGCGCGTGGCCCGGCGGCTTCGGCAATGCGAAGGTCGGTGCGAATTACGGACCTTCACTCGTCGCGCAGGGGGAGGCTCGCGCCAGAGGGTATGATCAGATCCTATGGCTTTTCGGGGAGGAATGCTTCGTCACCGAGGCCGGTGGGAGCAACTTCTTCGTGCTGTGGGAAAACAAGACTACTGGACGCAAGGAGATGGTCACGGCGCCGCTTGGCGATGGTGTCATCCTCGAAGGCGTGACTCGCGCGTCGGTCCTCGATCTCGTCCGCTCGGGGCGATTAGGTGAGGAGGTCGACGTCACGGAGAGGAGGTTCACCATGCAGGAAGTCATCGATGCTCAGACCGAGGGCCGTCTCATCGAGGCGTTCGGTGCGGGCACGGCCTTCTTCGTTGCTCCGGTGCAAGATATTCACTTCAGGGGACTGGATCTTGTTCTCCCGCTCGGTCAGACGGACGGAAAGCATGGAGATGAGTTTGCAATGAAGGTGAAGCGCGCATTGAAGGATATCATGTACGGACGGTTGGAGGATGAGTGGGGCGTTGTCGTTGAGGAGACGAGGGAGCGAACGTACGATGCATGAAGAGGTTTTTGTTTCCCTGTCGACGACGAGGGAGTGGTTTTCACCCTTCGAGCACTGGCTGTGGAGGATCACGGTTTTCTTGCAAAGAACGATGGACTCGGACGGCATGGCGTAGGTGCAAGGATCATGAGTCCTGTTGGTGCCTTCATTTTGTACATATTCTTTAAGGCGCAGCCTGCATGGTGGAACAACGGCATGAACATACACGTCACTGGCTTCGATCGATAATGGGGATAGAATCACTGTTCAAAAACCTCGAGGCTCTGATCCACCCGCAGTAGTTGTACATTGCTCAGCTGGTAGCCAGGCCTGATCACGAACTCTCGCCCTTGGCATCTTTACTCCGGGCCCCTGTACTCTGTTCTGTCTCCGCTCTCACCTCGCCGGCCTTCTGGCCCTCAACGTCGCCGCCTTCCTTATCGCCTCCCGCTTCGGTGTGCTCGACCTCGTCGCCATCCTCGGTGACGATGACCTTCTTCTGCGCAAGGAGCTCAGCCAGACTGCCGTCCTTGTGCATGTTGATCAGGATGTCGCAGCCGCCGATGAACTCCTTGTCGACGTATAACTGTGGGATTGTCGGCCAGTCGGAGTATTCTTTGATTCCTGCAGATGCATCTCGTCAGCCAAATGAGAGGCGAAACGGGTGCAGCTACCACGGCCAGTGTGCTATTTTAGAAAGGCTGGGGCACTGGCATTGTACATACCGTTCCTCAAATCCTGGTCCTCTAACACATTGAAGGCTGTGAATTTGGCCGGGTCCACGCCCTGTAGGCCCAAGATCTGGATGCTCGTCCTTGAGAAGCCGCATTGTGGCGTCTCGGGTGTGCCTTTCATGAAGAGGACGACTGGAGCCGAGGCGACGGCCTTGTCGATGGCAGAGCGTACTTCTTGCGAGAGCAGGCGGGTATGCGACAGTTGGGAGGTTATTCGCGGGAGAAGCGTGCTGTGGGTGGCGGAGGGGGACAGGGACGAGAGAGCGCCGCGGAGGGCCTGCGCAGGTCACTGTCAGTGTCTGAGCGGGGAATCCAAGCTGAAGGAGATACGCACGGGTAGTCTTAATGTTCGCTGGAGCATGGTTGTGTGCTGTGTCTCTTATGCTGAAGGGAGACAAAAAGCTCAAGTTCGTCCTCTGCGGCGGTTGTTGGAGAAAAGTGAAGATGGGATGATGTCAAATGTTGACAAATTGACCGTCGGTGTGTCGTTGCATCGCTTTCTCCGCAGAATCGCACCGTCTGCTACCACACAGGTAGAGTATGTACATACTCCATTACAAATGCGTGGCGATTGATCGAGAGAAGCCATAAATACCGATACCGCTGGATGGAACACACGTGTAGGTTTCCGAGACGAGACTCGACTTGACATCAATAGCACAGCGGTCCTGTCTATTCGTACTGCACCCACACCCATGACCACGAACCCGACGTCGAGCGGCGAGCGCTTCTCGGCTGCCGCATTCGAGAACGATGGCAAGCACCACATCCTCCTCGGAGCGAGCGGCTCTGTCGCAACGATCAAGATCCCTCTGATAGCCCAGGCACTCGGCTCCTTCGCCAATGTATCCATCCGTATCGTTCTCACCGAAGCGGCCGAGCACTTCTTGCAAGGCCAATCGTCTGAACAGCCGAAGCTGTCGTCGCTGGTTGACCTTCCAAACGTCGACGGGATATACCACGATGACGACGAATGGTCCAAGCCCTGGGTCCGCGGCGACAAGATCCTGCACATCGAACTGAGGCGCTGGGCGCACGTGCTGATCGTGGCCCCCTTGTCGGCCAACAGCCTCGCCAAAATGGTCAACGGCATGAGCGACGGCTTGCTCCTGAACGTCATCCGCGCGTGGGACACCACCGGCCTGATTGACATGCGGAGGAAGAGAATCTTCGTCGCCCCAGCCATGAACACCGCCATGTGGAGACACCCTATCACGAAGAAGCAGATCAAAGTACTAGACGAGGACTGGGGTGAGGGCGAGGACGGATGGGTCACCATCCTAAGACCCACGGAGAAGGAGTTGGCTTGTGGGGACACGGGCGATGGGGCGATGATGGACTGGAAGCAGATTGTCGGGCGTGTGGACGAGTATTTGAAGTTAGGGGGACGGGGAGATGAGGTGAACGGAGTTTGAATTTTCAATAACGACAATTGAAGATTTAAAAAGAGATTGTTATACAGAAATTGCGGCTACTTTCGACTCCTCTCGCGACCGGCGGTAGAGGTAGTCGCCCACCAAGCCGAGGGAGATGGTCCCGCCCGTGATCCAGGCTCCCTTTCTAAACCACCACCAGCAGTCCTTGACGTCCTTCAGATTCACCCGCCGGACCATGGTCGCCAGAGCCAGAGCTCCGCCTCCACAGCTACCGATGAAGAAGATGGGACCCGCTCCAGCGAAGTATCCCGCGGTCGCGAGGAGGGCGATCTGCGCCGCGGAGAAGACGGACAGAGCGGCCTTGGAGTTGTGCTCGTGCGCCTGGGCTATCGACTTGATGCCTGCTTTGGCGTCGTCTTTGATGTCCATGTAGGCGTAGATCATGTCGTAGTTGAGTGTCCAGGCTACGCAGCTGGCGTAGAGCGCTGCCGCTGCGGCGAGAGCCGGGGGGTTTGACAAGAGATCAATGCCCAGCGCCGGAAACCCCATGATGGCTCCCCAGGAGAAGGTGAGGCCGAGGACGAATTGTGGATAATGTGTCACTCGCTTCGCGAGCGGGTACACCGTGACGAGCAGGAGGCTGGGAACTCCGTAGTAGAGACAGGGAAGCGGAAATTGTAATAGCAAGGTCAAGCCCGTGAGGAGCTGTGCGCCTAGATATACAATCGCGTGCTCGACGGTGATGGCCTTTCGAGCGATCGGTCGTAGCTTGGTGCGTTCGACGTGGGGATCCAGGTTGCGGTCCCAGAGGTCGTTGATGGTACAGCCGGCGCCTCGCATTATCAGGGCGCCGGTAAAGAAGAGTGCTGTGGTTGAGACAACTTGGAATGGCGATACCATGGCCATTGGAGCTGCCAGGAGCGTGGAGAACATGCAGGGAAGGAAGAGGTAGTACGTCCCTGCCGGCTTGTCCAGGCGGATGAGTTCGGCGTAGGGGATCCATGATGACGGTAGCTTCGAGATGACACCTGTTGTCGGAGGTTTGTAGATCGTAGGGAGGTCTTGGGTCAGGGGCGAGGGTGTTGCTGAAGTCGACTGATGTCTGTTATGGTTCGAGAAGCGTCTTGATGCTGGTTGGCGTTCTCGGTCGAGAATTGTCAACGCGTGAACCTCTTTCTTTTGCTGAATCCATGTCGGTGGGCAGGCAGATGCTCGAGTCAGGGATCGTAAAGCCTTGCCGGTCACCCTTGAGTGTAGCCATGACGTGCATAACATGTTGATTCAGCCGGTCAAAAGCCAGCCCAACTTTGCCAGCTGTTCAGGTGTGCCACCCCGGCTGCATATATGATGTGCTCGGCTGCCACAGTAGATTATATTCTCGGAGTCACGGACGATGTCTTGAGCGTACTGTGAGCCACCACTGTGATGCTTCTGTGAAAGGCCTTCCCGCCTGCTTCTTTAGGCCCTCACGGTACTTTCTGTGTAGGATGCTGAAGGGGCTGGACGCTCGTTTGCTTCCCCGTAACTGGTGGAGTATTGACTCATATGCCGCAATTTTAGTGTCAAAGGTCGGAGGCGCGTCGCGGGCCGCGGGTCTCGCCGTATCGTCGATACTTTGCCTGTCGCTCTTCACCTGCGAGCCTCACCTTGACTCTACCCTCACACTTCCCTCGCTCTTCCCGCCTCGCGTTTGCAGTCGCAATCCCTCTCCGTGGTTGGAAATGCGCGCGAGAGTCATGCAACCCAGTGTTGAACTCGACTCACCTCGGCTTCTTCATATCTTCCCAGCGCCTTGCAGGAGGATGTGCCTCATCACGAGAACCTACACAAGAAAGAGAAGGTGGTTTGTCTGAACTGGTTCGCTCCGCTGCGCACTGCAAATCCCGATTGAGCCATGCCTTCTACACGGCCATGCGCGGCTTTCGAGCCAATCGCGCCTGACTTCGACCTCAAGAGCCTCGTGGAGTCACAAGCGAACTTTGAATGGGTGGTGCGCATACATTGCGATATGATCGACCACCAAGGCCTCGAGAACTTCGATAAGCTGGTCCTGATTCATGTCATACTCGGCGGGAAGCCGCTCGTCATTGAGGGCTATGAAGGGCGCCTTGACCGATGGACCTTTGCGCTCCAGTGGCTCCGCGACAACTGCGGCTCAAAGGGTATGTTCTGATGCTGACTGTGCTATGAAAAGTATCTGTGCTGAAATGCGTTCCAGTCGAGAATGCGCGAGATCTCACCAAGAAGACTAACGTCCCGTTGACCATCGGCCACTACCTGAATAACATGGCACTGTTGACAAACCAATGGACCCCGCAGAACTACAAGGATCCTGAACGTCAGCGGATGTATCTTAAAGATATCGACTGTCCACAGCTATGGCGGGACAAACTGGCAGAGATCCTTCCGCCTGGCCTCTTCTATCTGAACGAATCGACTGGTGACCTTGGTGGATACGGCGCGATGGACGAGAACGACTCCGTTCGACCCGGCACGAAGAAAGGCAGAGGCATTGCCAAAGCGGGCGATTTGATGAGTAGCTTGCCCAATGAGATGCGCGCCGAAAATCTCATGTGTTACGTGGGCCACGAAGGCACTTACACTCCCGCCCATCGAGAAATGTGCGCAAGCCTCGGTCAAAACATTATGGTGGAGGCATCTACTGGACTCATCGAAGATGGCAGACCGACCGGACCCGGCTCGTCAATCTGGTTCATGACGGAAAGTAAAGAGCGAGAAGTCGTCTCTGAGTATTGGCTCTCGCGGCTCGGCCATGATATTGAAATTGAGAATCACTTTGCGCAGGTCAATGCTTGGAAGAATGCCCCTTTCAAGGTCTATATTGTCGAGCAAAAGCCAGGCGACTTTATCTTGATCCCGCCACTCGCTCCACATCAAGTTTGGAATCGAGGCACCCGAACCATGAAGGTCGCTTGGAATAGAACCACCGTCGAAACGCTGGAGTTGGCACTTCATGAAGCGCTTCCTCGGGCCAGGATGGTCTGCCGTGACGAACAATACAAGAACAAGGCCATCATCTACTACACCATGCAGAAATACTCGAAGCTTCTCCGTCATGCGGAAAAGACCAGGCAGAGATCTGTGGGCCCCAAGCAGAAGGCATCGCGCGACGCAAAGGTCCGACAACTGGAGAAAGATTTTCGCAGACTAGAATTCCTGTTCACGGAGATACTGGTATCTGAAAGCTTTTTCCCTGACAAGCCTGAAAAGAAAGTGGAATTGGTTCCTTACGACAGTAACATTACCTGTTCATACTGTCGCTGCAATATCTTCAACAGATTTCTGACCTGCCCGAACTGCGTTGGACAACTGGCAAATGGAGATGAAGACACATACGACATCTGCATGGATTGTTATGCCATGGGCAGAAGTTGCGCGTGCATCTCAAAGCTTAAGTGGGTCGAGCAATGGTCTTGGGAAGATTTGACGCAGAAACATGAGCAGTGGCGACAGCAGATCCTGCAATATGAAGGCAAGATCACCGAGAAATCGCCCGTATCCCTCAAGATTGAGCTAGGTCGACGCGGGAACAAGAGAACACTGGCGCAAATTTGTCAGCTTGAATTGTCAAGGAGGCCATTCCGCGATATTGCACGCCCACCATCCCCAGCCAAGGGCGACGAAGAGGTCGAAGTAATAGGGCCAGATGGCAGCGTCAAGATCAGGAAAAAGATCAAGCGTACAGACAAGTTCCTCCGAGAGCATGCCCGCTGTCACACCGACTCGCATTGGGAACCGAAGTGGAAGCAGGCCGCGTGTACCCAGTGCGACAAGCGCTACTGTTATGGCACGCTATTCCGGAGATTTGACATGATGCCACAAGATATTCTTGCCGATCCAAACTGGACATGCCCCAGCTGCAAGGAAGTATGCAGCTGCCGACCCTGCAGACAGAAGGCCGGCTACGATTACAGACCTTACAGCCCCTCGGGCACTATGCTGGGTCACAACACGAAAGCGGTCGCAGACCCACGATCAGTGGAAAGTCTTGTTGACTTCAGCGTGTCCAATATTGGCTGGATCCAGAAGGCAGATGACGACCATGGTGACCAGTCCCGCCGACTTAAGAAGCGGCGGAAAGAGGCAGACGCTGCCAAAGCAAATGAGCCTGAACTGGGCGAAGACTATGTTGATGACGATGCGGACATGTCTGATGGTGTAGAAGCAGGTCTTTTACGGCTTGCAGAGCAAGAAGGCTTTGCGATTGACCCAGCACTGGGGACTGGTGGTGCCCCTACTGGCGCGCCTCCGGGAGACGACGATGATTTCGATGAAAACCCAGAGAGCGCGAGGCGGCCGGGCGATTTGACTCCTTCACACTCTCCTGCCGCGCTGCCTGAGGGTGGCGTTATTAGAGACCTCGAGCATGCCTACGATCGGACCGAGGCAATCACCTACGACTACCCTGATCCGTCAGTCGCTCTGCTCGTCTCTGGCCCTGCCGAGGAAGGACAAACCGCACTGCCGCCGGGCTATGTACCAGCCAGACCTGAAGAGAGTATGGAGATTGAGATGGTTCGACAGAAGCGCAAACGAGCCAAGACGGATGACGGCGATAGGGCTTACAACTACAAGAAACCGAACCCGGAGAAGCAGAAGCAAAGAAAATCCCTCATTGTGAAGCTGTCAATACCGATAGAGAAGCTGAACGAAATGGAAAAAACAGCCGATCTCGCCAGGCGGCCATTGAATGGAACCCTTCAAGTGCCGGCACCCGTCATCGGTTCTGATTTGCAGGCGCTCAATGCCGCGGAGGGCAATCCTCAGGCGGTAGCCAAGAAAGTCAGACGAGAACCAGAGCTTATTGAGGTGGAACGGGACGACGAGTTCATGCCCGGAAGATACCGTGATCGCAGAAAACGTGCACAAGATGGAGCTCCGCTGCCGCCACCTGATACAGAGATCACTCGACGACAGACGCGCAAGCATCAGACTCGCTATGAGGAGCCTTCGGAAGATGAATTCAAGGAAATGCTTGGGCCAAATGACAGGCGGAACTTGAAAGGCAACACGGCTGCGAAGACAACGCCGAGCAACGTTGTCAGATCAAGCGACCTTGAACTGGATTTCGACGATCCGGATCTGTCCGAAGAAGATATAGGCACAGATAGCTCCACCTCTATCCCAGCCATGGAAATTGGACATGGAAGTCCGGATCCGGCAACGAGAGCAGCCACAAAGGCTCCTGGACTGGCCGAGAGTGGAGTGGATCGTGCAGTCAGCAAAGAATCCACAACAGAGGGAAATGAGAGCTCATCATTGATCACTTCTCCAGCATTGCCTTCCAAGGAAGCCAACCTAGCGAAGCCAACTTCAACTGGTCCGGCGAAGACTTCCGCTGGGTCCATGGCCGAGGCACAAGCGAATCGAAGAGCAAAGATGGCTTTGATCGAGTCAATGGAGTACGACAGTGATGACCTCGACTATCCATGGTCGCAAGACTCGGTCTCCGACGAGCCCGCCACGAATGGTAGAACGTCCACTGTATCCCCACCGGCACCGAACAAGCAGTCAGCCACTGACACTCAAAAATCGATCAGCGGCTCCGCACGCGTCGAGTTGGTAAAGAAACCCGTCATCGTCAGTAATGTAAAGGCGTCGGCCGCGGATTGGGTTGATAGTGATGATTCAGATGATGATGGCATGGCAACTCGAGGGGCATGGGCTTCGGTCAACGGCGGAGTTGCAAGCGCGCGTCGAACGGTCGCCATGAAGACTACTAATCACGTCGCCAACGGACCGGTCAAGAGAGGCCGGGGCAGGCCGGCGAAACATCCAAAGTGAGTCTGACGAAAGAGCCAGGAACTACCAGAGCTGAATTGGGCTGTAAAGTATTGTTGACGTGAGACTGGGAGTGCTGAGCTTGGATGAATTTTCAATGAGTATTCGGACGTTGTATGACTCTACAGCTCTTGACTCTTGCTGGTGGCGAGCTACCCGCTATACAGAATGCTGGCAGCAATGATTCACCCGACGAAGATGGACCAGCATGGCTGTGTTGTAAATGAGTGTAGCCTCCAAGAGCCAAAGCATGATATTTGCTGGAGCCGTGCCGGCGAGTCCCCATCAAGAAGATACGTACACGTCTCATTGACGCGGCTATTAGCTTCTGTGGCTCTGGCCCGACTCGTGATGAACCATACTCTGTACATATCAGTGGATGAGTGACGGTGCGCAAGGCTGAAGGCTGCAGAGTTCGCGGATATTCCATTCCGGCGACTGCAAGGCTGAACTATGACATGGCGTGCGTGGCCAGGCCGACACACAATTTCACGCGCCGTTCACCTCTTCATTAACCAAGTTTCGTCCTTGACACCTGCCCGCTAACAACATCAACCATGAAGAGCATGCGCTTAGTACAGCGCAATGCCAGTATGCGGCACCTCTTAGCTGCGCGCCCTGCGGCGCACCAGTCTCGAGCTCCTCTCCAGCAGTCTTTCCGCACCAGACCAACGCTACAGCAGACCGTGCAGACAACATCCCTCTCGCGCATGATTCACACCCAGCGAGTGACAACGACCTCACCTTCTCAAATACTCCGCTCTGCTAGGCTACAACAGCCACCCCGAAGACCCGCGGGTCGCCGCTACAAATCCTCTACATCCACCCCAGACGCGGAGCCGACGTCGCTCAAGGACCGGCTCAAGAAAATGTCGCGCGAGTACGGCTGGACCGCCGTGGGCGTATACTTGGCGCTCTCGGCGCTGGACTTCCCGTTCTGCTTCCTCGCCGTGCGGTTGATCGGCACGGATACAATCGGGCATTATGAGCATGTGGTGATGGAGGGTGTGAAGAATCTGGTGAAATGGCCGATCCGGGAAGCCGCAGGTGATGTGGTCGGGGAGGCGGAGGTCGCGGACGACAAGAGGGTCTTGGATGAAAAGAGCGAGGAGGAGGTGCTGAACGATCATGGGTATAGGGAGGCCGAGAGGGCGAATCGCGGGGATAATGCAAGTGAGTATTCTCAGAGACTGGGGTGTTTGGTGTGCGCATTGCTGGCGAAGCACACGGGCTAACACGAGACGCTCTACAGGTCTATGGACACAACTTGCTCTCGCGTACGCGGTGCATAAGTCGTTTATCTTCATTCGGGTGCCGTTGACGGCAGCAATCTTGCCCAAGGTGGTCAAGACACTGAGGTCTTGGGGGTACAATATTGGGAAGATGCCAACTAGGAAGGCGGTCACGCCTAGCACGGGCGTGAATACTAAAGGGTCGAAGGTTAAGCCTGGTGATTGAGCGAGTGGCGGTCATGTGGGAGATCACTCGGCCCTGTCAGGACTCAGCTCACACTCTGGGCGCTGGGCCGCACAGGGACGGATCATCCGCGCATGCACGCTTGTTGGCGGAGACACCAAAACCCATTCCCAACTCTGTAGCATGCCAGCTGTCGGAAGAGTCGTCTTTCTTCGAGGTTAGAGCGCAGGCTTTTTGTAATGTACAACAGGTTTCTTTCCCCCGCCAGATCAATCTAACCTCTGGCCCTCCAAGGGATCCGTCGTCCCCTCCTTCTCCAACAGCTGCACTTCCGTCCCGTCGTCGCCGCGGAGGCTCCACTCCAAGGTCTCGAAGAAGCCGCCTCTCCGCTTCACGGCCACGAACTTCGTCTCCGCCACCCCTTTTGTCCCCTTCACCCGAAACCTGATGTTGATGACGCCTTGCATGGGGCTCAACTCGCCACTGATCCACGGCAGCTTGCTGGCAAAGTAGATCTCATCGCCCAGCAGGTCGCGGGCGTGGATGTTGGTGCGCAATGCGTACAGGATGCTGTTGACGGTGCTGGACGTCGACTTCTCGTAGTTGAAGATCGCCAGGCTGGACACTGTGATCAGGAGGACGAAGATCGGGAGGGTCTTCAGCCAGACTGAGATTCCGGCCGGGAGGTCGGGCAGCGCGCGGTCGGGTCGGCGGGAGAGTAAAGGGCCGGATCCCTCACGGGGAGGAGGCACCAGAGGGCGAATGATGCGGTTAGGGTCAGCGTTGGGGGATGTCGAGGGGGGGGATGAGGATGAAGATGAGCGGGAGAGCGTTCTCGGTATCGAGGTTGAAGGTATGGGTACTAGGGGTGCGTCTCGGAGGTGGTGGACGCGGAGGATGGACTGGCGCAGAGAAGGTGGCAGACTTTGAAGCTGTTTGAGCGCCATGGGCGTGGTGAGGAGTTTCTTGCCGTTCATGGCGGACTTCGGAGGGGTCGGGGTCGAGGTCGAGAAAGCTCCAGTCTAGGTCGAGATGTCCAGACGTGGTGGAGGTGGCGCTTTGTCTTGCGCGTCCTTAAATCGTGCAAGAATGATGCATGCTGCTTTGACTCTGAATGGGCTCAGTTGCTCGATCTAACTAGCTGATAGACTTTAGCCTATTACGGCTAGCGCCGATGTTCCGGACGGCTCCAGCGCCATCGCCATCGCCATTGCCAGCACCATCATCTCAATCAGACCTGCGTCTTGTGGTCCACGGCTGCCATTTGCAGAAAGTGCTAGATCTGTTGTGTACTGGATAGTAGGTGTTCGTAAGTAACGCATTAACAAGCGAGGAGTATTTCGCAAGTCACCAAATGTCGGGGATTGATACATAAATCCCGTTGGCATCGTTCTCCGTCAGCCAAGCAATTCCAGCATAATGGCCTTCTTTTCGACAAAATAACTTTGCCTGCACACTGAGTAGGCGCTCAGGTTGAACCTCTGCTCTACTTGAATCCACTACCCAGGGCAAGAGCCAGACCTTCCTTCCTTGATGTCACTCCTTCCGACTTGTCTCATACATGCACTCTGCGCGAAGGCTGAAGCATCGGCCCGCGTTTTGGCAGAATCAAAAGTCTGACGATCAGCGACCAATGTGTTCCGTTTGATGGATTCGACAGAATTGACATCCTCTTTGAAATCGTCTGCTGCTATGTTTTGACTGCTTCCCGCTGCCCGAATTCCAGTCAACCTGCGCTCAAGAGCCCAATCAATGCGCCATCTTCGAGGACTGTGTGTTTTCTTACTTTACCACCTTCCGTCCTTCTGTCCGTCACCGCCTGTTCGCTTCCCAGCTGGGTGCAGGCTGCTACGCGCGGTGTGTACAAACAGAACGGCCTCCTTTGCTCTCTCCAGCGGCCTTCCGTCCCCGCTTTACCGTTGAAACCGGCCTAGATACCTCGTTGACGCAGATTCCAGGAGAACCAATTTGGGCGATCATCAACCTCTATGCCACCGAAACACATGAGACTATCCGGCCGACGAACGCCGATGTCCCTCAGAAATCGTATACAACCAACCATCATAGCACATTTGTTTCTCAGGGAGGGTTATCCACACAGCTTGAATGTCAAAATTGGCAATATGTCCACAAGATCCCCATCAACAACAGCTACACTAAACAGCCCATTCGCGTCGGGGAAACCTTGCATGACGTTGGCTGAGAGTGGTCTTACGAGGCAGTATATTCTTCCCTGGGAAGTCATTTTACGCATGAACGCAATTTGATCGCCTACCATTCACTCTAGTGCAGGATGTTAGGAACGATACCTGCCCTCACGTCGGCTCATGAGACTGTCAAGGTCGAGCTTCAGCAAAGTCTCACTGACGCCTTCGATCGGGGCGAAGCCAGATTGCGCGTGCCGGAACCTCCGTATGTACCGTTCGTCGATACAATCGCCGCGGAGGAGGCATAATCTACAGGGCGGCCGACATTGGCAGATACAACCCATGGTGAACGACTCGCTGATCACAGCATGAGCACTATGGTGGCTTGACTCAAGATGTTTATCCTTGTCAGGATCAATGGCTGCCGCCTCCATCCATCACGTCCTGCCACACCATTATAAGGAAAACTCTTCTCGTCTTTCCTGTCTGGGCATGCGCATTACGGACCTGCTTGACGAAAGCGCCAACGAGGCTGCTGGACATACGCAACGAAATGCGCTGGCGCTGCAACCGTCAAAACTGCATTGCCACGATAGCCTTTGGTGAGCATGAAGAAGATTCCCAGGAGAAGCAACAGCGGCCTGTGCTTGCTCTTTTCTACAATTTGAATCCTTCTTCGACTTCTACACGCACTTTCTCGGTCCTGGAATCTCTGTGGCTCCATATCTTGCTTGTACCGGCAAGCCACTCGCACCCCGGGCGTCCAATGTCCTGAATTGCGGGACTCTTCCACCATTAAGAACTGTTTTTTAATTTCCCTCGGCGCGCTACCGGTATGCACAGCGTTTGTCGGGCTTACTGGGTAGTCTTTCTGGAACTGCCGAATACCAGCTGGACCTTGGAAAGCATTGACTTCTTCAGATCGTTAATCAACCGGAAACGACAACATTGACACGGCTCGGAGCAGGTCGAGGACGGGGCCTTAGTTCCTTGAAATTTGGTCGCCAGTGCGCCGATAGTCCGCGCGGATTCGGTGCTCAGCCTCTGATTGACCAGGGTGATTCAAGGACTGTACTGAGCGTTTTTGCCCTCTCCTCTGAATGTCTGCGAGATGCAACCTGACACAGAGGTGTTTTGCAACCAGTTTTAGTATACAGCATGCGAAAACGGCTGCGCGGGCTGCGATGCCTTGCACATGCAAGACGCATATCTCATGGACGATCTAGTACGTGGTACCCTGTAATGTTTTCTCGAATGTCGTTATGCTCAAAATGGTGGGCGATTGGACGACTCCCTCTCCGCCTGTTCACAGAACACTAGCCAGCAATATAGTACTAACGCCTTTCGCGAAGACGCTCAGCCGACACGACACCGCTGCCTCCACTCCATCTTGTATTAGGCCGAGTGAGTGGTTGATTGCACAGCTGCGTATCGCAAATCCAACCATGCAGCAGATTATCTGCTTTTGGCAGATTTGCAGGTTGGTGCCGATGCAAATGTGGCACGATCTAGGCTCTCCGCTCCCAGAGACACGAAGAAGTGAATCGACCTCCTGGAACAACATCCTAGTTGACCTGTCACTAAGCCTACATCTCTCGTGGGCTAGACTCCAAGATCCTGGACTTCGCTGGCATGGAGTCAAGTCTCTCAAGCGTTGTTTCCTCTATTGATGATGGGGCCCAGCAGGTTCCGCTGCGCCACTATCCGTCCTAGCAGTCACCGAAGCATATCACCCTACCAATACTTCATGCGCATGGATCAGGCGATCGTCAATGTCCGTCTTCACGAGGGCGAATCGTCTAGCCAGCGCTACCGCACTTACTAGTACTTTAACGACCTTCTGCTATCGTTGTGTGAAATACATGGCTCGAAGGAACTTGAAGTGAGACGACCTCCGGGTATGTACTCAATTGCAGTGGGTTCCATCATCCACCACTGACCACTCTCAGTCCTGGTGATGCTAACACATGTCAAGCTATCTGGGCAGCCCAGTCAATGTTCACCTGAGTGCACCCAGGCACTCATCGGGCCAGTCCAATCAATCTCCGGCTCTGCAGCCGTACATGGCGCATCACGGCAGTCAATTCGAGGACTTTGGAAGGAATCCTCCACGAATGTTGACTGTCCAAAGCAGACCAGACCGTTAAGTATGTATGTATTTCCCAAGCCTGTGGCAACTCTTACTTTTCGGCAACAGTATCGTGCCTGACGGGTCGCTCCTTCTATACTGCACAGCGCTGTCATTCCACCAACCCATGCTGCCCAGCCCGATTTATTTGCCCCGACTGACCACAGCCACGGCAATTTTCAAATCGGTTGTTTCCTTTCCCTGGATGTCCGGATCTGGATCTTCTGTTATTCTGTGATGGGTCTACCGAGTACTGACTGTATCTGGATCAAACTCAGCCAAAGGATTCAAGTTGCGCGATATCTGCAATGGTCCAATGGCCGTGACAGGCGACCATCAATGCATCCCTTGAAACCCAAACAACATTATTTCTGTACGAACCTTTGGTCTCACTCAGTGGCTACGTACATTTTCCCCACCTCTCGAGATCATCTCGACTTCCACGAGCCAACCCACCCTGCCGACAAGGAAACGTACACCAACGAGAAGAGTGTGATCAACGCAAATTCTCGTATCCTATTTCATGCATGGCGGCTTCTTGAAGGCGTCCGCCCGACTCCAGTGGCACTTCTTCACGGATGGCAAGTGTTACCTCTGGAAACAACGCAGGTGCTGGTGCGGTTCGATCTCAACGTCCGAACAACTGCACTCATGGACAAGAAAAGGCCATCCCGTGCCACGTCGGGTGCTCTACCTGTTCTTGTGGACCGTGTTGATGACGGCTCCAGCGCTGTGGGTTGGAGCCGTTGCGAGCCAACAGGAGCTTTGTCTCTTGAGGAGATTGAATTCCTATGAACCAGCGGTGCTACACGGTTAAACTGAGATTGGAATACCACCGAGACTTCACATCTGGCGTAGATCCCGTGATACTAGGGGAGGACGTTAGCACCACGTTCAACAGGACCTATTACTATCGTATGCGCCAGGATCCCGCGGTCGGAATCTACGTCCTCCTAGAGACTTGGTCATACCTCAATGACTATATGCGGCAAGGCGAGCAAGAGGATTGCGTGTGGCTTCAGGGTGGGCTACAAGGCATAGTTTCTCTGTACATGCTAGTACTTAGTACTTACTGCTCCCCCGATAGGGAAAGACGGAATACTGTTATACTATATCAAGTTAGTACATCCTACTATGTAGTGTACAGTATATAGCACTATCACGCTAAGCACTAAACTACACTAAGCCGAAAAAAGAAATTTAGTACTGCCTTTAAGAAAAGAATACTATATACTAAGTATTTAGTAGTAGCCTTTAAAAGTTCTTAAGCATTTTAATCTAGGTTTCGAGATAGGTTCAAGATAGGTTTAAGCCTCGCTCTACACTAGGATCAAGATAAGGTTAATATAGAATTGAATCTATAGTATACTATATATATATAGGCCTTCTCTAGCAGTTTACACCTATATCTATACGATTCTAATACTACTCTTAACACTACCACTCTATTACTTACCGTCTTAAGTTTTAGTGCTGTTCTAATGCTGCCTTAGTGTTATGTATTAGTTCTAAGCATTAGGTACTAAGTCTTAAATTTTATAAATTTATAAATTTAGTGAATACCTTATAAGGGAGAAAAAGGATATTAAAATTAGCTATAAATTGCTAAAAATTTAGAAACGAAAACTTAGAGATAATAAAATATACTTTATATAGTATCTAGAAAGAAATAAAAATAAAACTTTAGTATTAGTACGGCTTCAACACCTCTTTTTATTAGTGAAAGCTAATAACTTTAATACTATTTTTAAAGCTGTATCGGATGCTGTATTGTTCTAATACTGTTCTAATACTTTAATAAGAAAGCATCGGATTCGCTTTAGACACCATGAGAATCCCATAGTAGATTAAAGGACTTAAGACGGCATTAGATGCTGTATTGATAGAGCATTAGAACAGCATTAGAACAGCATTAGAACAGTATCCGATGCAGCTCTAGAACAGCACTAGTTCATATTTAAACTACTAGGGGTGGAAAGCGTAGTGTCAGCCCTCTCCGAGCGCATCGGCGTTGCATAACATCTGGAAAGCGGCGTACAGTTGGTGGTGGAACAGGAGCGAGGCCGCAGCATGAACGTTGATCCACAGTAAAGAAAGCCTGCAAGGGAATACCGATCTGTCCATTAGATTTCACGAACGCAAAAGCGTCGCACTACCGTGAGTTCGCGAATTGACGCGGTGGAGGAGCGTGTCCCGCCACCTGCGCCAGCGGGATCTCCCGACGACAGCGGCGTGGGCACGTCGCGACGTCTCCCGATGTGCAAGTTCTTGGACCTGTAGGACCAGGGGCGTGGAGCACCAAATCCTCGTGAGACGGCAACTCTGTTAAGATGTGCGGCAATTGTCCTGCCTGACCTGGTGTAATGGCAGAGGCTTCGGTAGTACATAAGATGTTCCAAGTCGAAAGCTCCTCTGCCGACGGAGACGAGAGGCCCCGGGTTTCCTATCGCGCTGCTCGCGCCTGACGTGTGAGGGACGCCACGAGAGGGACCTTTCGAGACTGAGCCGCCCACGGGCCATGGCAGTTTGCGTTCCGTTATCGACGAGGTTGTTGCGAAAGGCAAAGCGAGAGGAGCAGGGCTCTGTCGATACAGTACTTACATTTCTCGGCCGCCTGTGATCACCAGTCGCCCATATAGGTGGTGGCGCTGAAGCCACGATGGCACCAGCGTCGAGAATCAAAGTCACAACGCCAACAGGTCACACGTAAGGTGTCCCGTGTGGATGGATAGACGATGTGCCTGTCCCTCTTTCGGACTCATCCTGCGTGGACTTCAGGTGTGGCCATCATTCTGATCCGGTCAACCATGCGAAACCCCTCAGATGACAGTACCGGCGACGTCGTTACCGCTGCCACTTCCGGCCAGTCTGAGAACCCATGTGTGGTTCGTGGCAGCGTGCGGTTACTTGTACTCCGTAGTTGGTACTCGTTGTCTGGACCGCCGTCGATTATGTCACAGTTGCGCCAGCATGCGACGGTGTTCGGCTGCTGTCCCGCAGCCAGCAAGGAGTCGCCGCCAGGATCTTGCCGGTGCAATGAAAAAGATATCTCGATTGCGACTTGGAAAAACCCCCAGCCCAGCCCCATCCATTACTACGGCCTGTAGAGCGCAGGGGCACATTCGGACAGACCTGAAGGACGTAAAGATTACTGTACTGCCGCGTACGCTTGGACGTGCAACTGCATTATGGCTTCAGAGGAGACGTAGGAACGTGTAATGTTGGAAGGCAGGTACAGGAGGTTTGCAAATAAGCAGGCAGCACCTAATGCTACAACAGGAGCATACATACCCTGACGCCGACGATTCTGATTCCCGACGTGGTACCGTCCCCGTCAATCTCAATCTTTGGTCCCGAAGATACTTACTTAGTCGCAACGAGTCCTGCCACGGCCGCTCGAGAGACTGTTCCTCTATGACCGGTTGGCTGTCGCATTGGCTGGCCAGATGTTAGACCATGACATGCTGATCACGGCTCTCCACCGGTATTCCCGAACCGTGAAAAGCAGTCGGTCTGGGTGCTTCGGGGGTGTGCAAATCAGCCACCAGCTCAAGAGCAAGCGAGAAGCTGATGAGAGATTTTGTCACCGCGGCTGTTCCTGCTACTCGGTGGTCGATCTGCTGAGGACGCTGGATGCAGGCGAGATAGTCGTTTGCCGGCTCTTTCGACTGCCATCATATTCGAGAGGTAGTGAACCTACTCAGTCGAGGAGGGCGACAGCTCTCGACCAAGGTAGGACCTCCGACCTGCTGGATGGCAGGAGTTGCTGTGCGGGTAGGTTCTTTTCGAAGGATCAAGCAGCTGTTACTCCACAGTCCTCCACACTGCACTTCTCACGAGGACACTGACTCCGGCCATATGACGTGAGTCGAGTGTCCTCGTGTCACGGCAATCAAGACATTCTAGGCGTGTAAGCCGATGTGAAAGGGTGAGGATATCGCAGAAGCACGCGTTGAGTCGAGGCGTCGAGGCGTCGAGGCGTCGAGGCATATGGTGAGCGGCAGTGGCAGGACTCGTTGCGACGTATCAAAAAGAGAGATTTGTATCTTTTTATCATTGCGAAGGATTAGAGAAGGTAGAGAAATAGTAGAGAGGAAATAAGTGTATATTCGCCTGAAGATACGAGCAACCGGTTTTAAAAAATGAATCACGTTGAAGCACCTCCATTTCCGGATGTAAAGCAGTCAGATGATGACCATGTAAAGCTCCAAAAAAGTTATTGCCTCCGTTGAGAGTCGAACTCAAGACCTCGGCATCACTGTATTGTGTACTAGTCTATCTCGAATGTTAGATTGCGATTTGTCTCCCGGATTGTGGTGTGCAACTCACGCCGCGCTCTACCAACTGAGCTACAAAGGCATTGTTGAAATCCCACTTGATGGATTGAGTCTCCTGGGAATTATTGGCGAGGTTTAGCATGTTTTTGTATATAATATACACTTTTTCCCTCCTCCGCGGTGTGCGGATGGATGAGCCCATCGCCCGCTTCTGCAAGCCAATGGGATCCGCGAAACTGTTGGTCGGACCAACCCCACCAAGAAACACTTCTTTTCCTGACGTGCGATATTGTTCACCACCCAAATGCCATGCAGATGTGGAAGGGTTTTCGTGGGAAGATCGACTGAACAATTCGACCCAGATGCCCACGTGCCGCAACCCCATATGTCCTGTACATGCTTGTGGTTACCAGAAAAGAACTGAGCCACGGACGTACTGCGCCGAGTCACTCCTCGTGCAAGTTGGAACAATGAACGTCGAACTAAGTCCTATGCTTGACGACGTGTCGGTTAAATTGATTACTTTTGATGGCACCATAAATTGACCTTGTCAATAGATAGCGCTGAAGGAGAACAGGAGATATTTTTGGTATTCATACTCGCTCAATACGCTGGCTTGCCTACGAACACACACTCCTTCGTCAATCGCCCAGCTGCACCTTCGAGACTTTTCTGCACCTAGACGCTGCTTGTGCCAATTTGCTTTCGTGCCTTCTGTCCCCTGAACGGCAGTCTCCCGTGCTGACCATAGACCCCGCCAATACCGCTTCTTGCTACCAATGCTTCTCCAACACAGCCAATACCTTCGTGTCCGATCGCTGTCGTCTGCTAAACTGCTGTCGATACATCCGGACGGACTTGTAGGTCAAAATGGTTGCCCATCCCATCTCCACAAATGATTCTGGTCGCCTGTGTTGGCGAGTGATCATCTGATAAGCATGCATTAACTACAATGCGTATGGGTTCATGGACCGAATAGTCAGGCATCTATCGAATATGTCAGTAACGGCACGATAGGGTCACAATGGGTCACACTTACGGTGGACTCTTCGTGAGGTCGGTCTTCAAGATGACGGGCACACGAGTCATCTCAGTCACGTCCTGGATGTATTCACCACCTTCCTCTCTCAATTTGAAATAGCTGAGATACTTCTCTTTGTCGGTCAGATTATTCTCTGGGATGTTGCCGCCCGCTTTGGCAATTCTGGAGTCCGACTGGGTCCTGGCAGGTCCGGTGGATGAGGTTCCATTGCGGCTGGGAGATGGTGGCAAACTCTGAGTAGATCGGTCACCTTGGTTGGTCAGAGACACTCCTGATGCCATCTCTGTGAGCTCGGACGTGCTGTCCTCGTCGTCGTCGTCGAACAGAGCATCGACATCATCGGTCGACATGGTATTACTGTCAGTCTGTTTGCGTTGGGATTCGTATCGTTCTTTGGCCCGTTCTCTGGCTGATTCGGTTGCACTGTTCGTACCCTTGGTACTTGCTGACGTACGAGGTCTCTCATCTTCAGGGATATAAGCAGATGAGGGAACGCCCTTTTCCCAATAGAGTTCGAGGACTCTTTCATCCTTGCGGAATTCGGCTTTCTTGAGCGGAAGCTGATCGCAGTGAACACGTTTCTCGAAGCCGTACTCCGGGATGAGGATATCGAAGGCAGACTCGTACACACAGATGACGATACCCTCACTGATGAGATCGCCACCGATTTCCTTGCTCTTCTTGTCCATGAGTCGGCAGGATTCGATGTGGACACTCTGTTCCTGTGCCGCATGAGCGGAATCTTTTTTGTTGTTGCATTGTTCCGCCGTCTTGGCCAAGCTCTCCAAGTCTTCATTGAACTCGACAGAACCACCGGAGAGAGCAGCCTCCAGTTGGCGGTGGACGACAATGTCGGCATATCGTCGCGAAGGGTTGGTGAAGTGGGTGTACAGAGGTAAGTTCAAAGCAAAGTGCTGGCGATGGTCGTCTCCGATTTGGTTGCCGATGTAATATTTCGCACGCTGCAGGGTCTTGACCAAGAGAGTCTCCATTCCCTTGCGTAGATCGGCGTCCTCCACCTTGAAAAGACTGTTTTGCAGGGTGCCGCTGCTGGAGCTGTCGATATCATAGCCGGCTTTCGTCATACGGTCCACAAACGTCAGAAGCCGACGTGGGTTGGGAGGAGATTGTCTTCTTAGAAAAGCCTTATCCGGCATGGCTGCAAAGATTTTCTGGGCCACAAAGAAGTTGGCCTTGGCAGCAAGTTCTTCCATGATCTCGTGAGCCGCAGAGGTGTTGAAGATGTTCTGTTCAACTGGGACATTCTCATCGTCGAGCTGATAAAGCAGTCGGAGCGGAGCAATGTTTGCGGAGCGGTTGCCGAAGCGAGCTTCTCGGAACTTATTCGCCATCTTGTGCAAAGTCTTGATGTCGTCGACAGTAGCACCTTCGAGTCCTGCTTGCTCACCGCCCTTGATAACGGCGTCAATTGTCTTGTACGACAGTTTGCCTGAACTCTGAATGATGGACTTTCGGATGGTGGGTTCTCCCTCGATCTGACCAGTTTCGCTGTCGACCTTGAAGATCACGCTCACTGTCAAACGACCCTCGCCCGGAAGGAGGGAGCAAACCTCGGCACACAGTTTGGGCGGCAGCATGTTGACGGCTCTGGTCATCAAATAAACGCCAGTTCCTCGCTTCTTGGCCTCGCGGTCCACCAACGAGTTTGCCTTGACAAAGTGCGCCACATCCGTAACGTGAATTCCAAGTTCGACCAATCCATTGTCAAGCTGTTTGATGTGAAGTGCATCGTCGAGTTCGTTGGTGCCGTTGGGGTCAATTGTGAAAGTCCGCTCATTGCGGAGATCGAGACGAGAACGCAAGCTTTCCTCAGTCTCGGTCTTCAACGACCAGTCATCCCACCCAACACTCTTCAGAACAGCGTCGGAGAACTCGTCGGAGCCGAAATTGTTGTCTCGCAGTAATGCATCAGTCTCGACACGAAGATCACCCATCTCGCCTAGCTGCTCAACCAGCGTGCCAAACGGATGCAAAGAAGTGATGGGCCAGCGCTTTATGCAGGCCACGAAGATTCTGTTGGCGTAATCCATGTGTTTGTCGACAAAGTCTCGAGGAGCTTGCTCCGTGGGGATCGCAATCAAGGGCACACGCTTGTCAGTAGGCTTGAACCAGACAATCTTGGGTTTGTCCTGCATACGAGACTCGGATCGTGAATGTCCACCGTCACGTTGCTGCCTCTCGGCCTCTTGCTTCTCTTTGGTGGCCTGACTGCTTGGGCGTAGAAGACCGAGGGTGCCGGAGAACATCTGCCCGGCAACGCGCTCAATGACTGCGACGACGTGACCGGCATAGAGTGGCTTTTGCTCATCGCTGATTTCCTCTTCCTCCATGAGAAGGAGGCTCTGCCCTTCGACCTCAACATCGTCATTCTTCTTTTGCGTCGGACGTTGACGAAGACTGCCTCGTCGGCGAATGCTACCATCTGGTGCAATGGATGTGGTATCAGTAGTCGAGGAAGTATCACTCTTGCCATTCTGACCAGTGCCTGATGAGCGAGTATCGGTAATGTCCTTGCGTTTCTTCTTTTCTTCCTTTTCACGCTTCTGACCCCAGACTTCGTCCACGTCGAGCAGCTCGACGGCGACCAAGTCCCCTTCAAGAGCCCGGTTTCGGTCTTTACTGCCGCAGATGAAGATATCAGCGTCAAGATCACTCGTGGTGACGTACGCGTCGGAACGATTCTTTTTGTTCACTCGAAGAATGCCGGCAACCAGCTGGCCGTCATTGAGTAGAGCAGGAAGGGTAGCTTGGGGGAGGTAGGGAGTAAAGAGGGTCTTTCTCTGTTGTTGCTGTTGCAAGCCCATTGGAGGGGCATGTTGGCTGGCCTGGAGCCCACCGAGCTGGGCACCCTGCAATGCCTGCAGCTGAGCCATTTGCAGAGCATTCAACTGCTGACCGCCGGGCATAAAGCCTGGCATCATCATCTGGCCCTGCTGCAGTTGAACCAGTTGAGGTTGGCCCGGATATTGGAAGCCGCTCATAGAGCCCATAGATTGATTGATCGATCCACGGTTACGGTGGCCTGGCTGGAACCCCATGCCCTGAGGTTGACTGAATTGGCCCATTTGCGGTTGTGCCTGATCGTTGGATTGTTGGTTGTTCTGTTGACGCCAATTTCCTTCGAAGTTCCGAGATCCTTGTCTCGTATGGCTGTTCTGGCTTCCACGGCGTTGGAGATCGGACTGGCTACCTGCACCAGCATCACCTTGAGGTGGGAATTGGAAAACGCTGTTCCCGCGGCCAGCTGCACCTCCGCCACGAACACCTCCAGCGGCCATACTCTGACTGCGACTGTGACCCATATTGCGAACGTTGCCAGCGCGGCCGATACCAAGGCCTCCCGGAGTGACAGGCGTGGAAAGCCTATCGTCTGAAGGAGTCGCCGCCACAGGGCTTTCCACAGTGCCGGCAGCACCGGGGATAGGGAACTGAAAGCCGGCCGCCGTCCTCTTCTTCTCTGCAAGCTCGGCAGCCTTCTTAGCTTCGGGAAGTGCAAGTGAGTGACGTCGTGTATGACCACTTTGTGCAGAGCCTCCTCTTGTATTTCCACGTCCCCCGGTGTTTTCACGGTTCTGTCCGAGAGCCTGCTGATTGAAGTCGCCGTAGGCCGCGCCGGCAGCGCCAGCGGAAGGTGCTGGAGGAGGCCCCATAGCCATACCGGGTAGGGCAGACTGGTTCCGTCGATGAGCAGCAGGCTGAGTCGGGGGATTGCCCTGAATGCCCATCTGCTGCTGTATCTGAGGAAACTGGAAGTTGGGATTGTTGTTTGGAGAGAGCGATGAAAGATTGGGTTGCCCTTGGACAGGGGAATAGGCAGGCATGCCTTGCAGAGGTTGCTGGATCATGCCCATGTTCACATACTGCTGATGAGTGGCAGCGATCTGTTGCTGTTGTTGTTGAAGCAATTCGATTTGTTGCTGAAGAGCTAGCTGTTCCATCATGAGCGGGGTGAGCTCAGAGGGACTTCGTCGATGGGCGATATGGAGTCTGCGCCCTGCAGGGCCTGGCACCCCAGATTGACCTGGTTGCGCCATCTTGGGACGTGTTCAGAATCAAACTGTCTGTCCTAGCTCCTTCTTTCCGCTCGTGCTGGCGGGTGTTGAGAGAACCGTGGAGGGATGAAGGACAATGCTTCGGGCTGTTCAAGAAACCTCGTGCACAAGGGAAGGTGACCAAGCTGTAAAGAAAGTCAGCACAGACCATATTGAAGTGATAGCGATTGTTCTACGTTGGGGATGAAATTGAGGATGCATGGGGAAGAAACGTTCATTGATGATGCTCGTTCAAGCGCAGCGCAGAGATATGGAACAGACTCACCAGAAACTTGCCGAGCGACCTTTGTATGGCAAAGCTGTTATGGATGCTTTCAACCTGGCTTCGGCGTGTGCCGCTCGAACGTTGGGAAATGATGGTTATGAAGCTGGATGAATTGGGTATTCTATTGACAAGGATCTGGATCCTCCGGCCGAGGTGGAGTGACCGGGCAGCGTCGGTTTCAGTGACGAGACGAAGTACGACGGTAGCGTCGAGCTGATGGCCGTCGCAATGGCAATGATGACAGCTCAGGTGCAAGCAGGAATCGCCAATCGTGACTGCTAATAGGGTGCAACAGAATCTGGGCGCAGGCAGGCACAGCCCGACGTGAGATTCTTTTGGGCGAGGGAAGGACAGGAAACGGAACTCGACGGGGACGACACCCGCAGTGGCAGCAGGCAGGAGCACACGAGGGAGTGACTCGGCTGGTTTCAAGGATTGTCTGGCCAACGTGCAGCGATGAGAGCAAAGACAGAATGGAGGGCGAAGATGGTGAGCAAGAAGAGGACGACGAGAGGAGGGGAGACCGAGATGGGGATGAGATGGGGATGTGAATGGGAACGGGAACGTGTCTGTCAAAAGGTCTTGGTGTTCTTCTACTAGTGTGCGAGTTGTGTGCGCCGCAACAACAGGCTCCCGGTAAAGCCACTGCTGGCGCTTGCGTTATGCTCACTCGCTTACTGGGTACGCCGTCGACGGTAGGCTGTCTGGAGATATCTCCCTGCCCTATTGGCGACGGCGGTCGTGTTTCTGATCACTTTTGGCCCCTTCTTTGTCTACCGGTACGTAGAGAAGACCAGACCTTCGGAGCCCTTGCCCACTGCATCCTTTTGCTCGATCGTGCACGTCGGGTAAGCAGCTTCACCGCGTGCTCCGCAGGGGTTACGAAGTGAAGAGTACCATCCCTCTCCTACTCTTACTACAATATCCGCCGTCTTAGACGCCGATATGCCGCCAAGTGAAATCACAAACGGCTGTGATCCAAGCTGCACGGTGGGCGGTGGGCGCAAAGCAGTTGATGCCAAGACATGTTGCGGCGTCCGCAAGCCGGTACCCGCCCGCACTTATGGGGGCTCTCCAGGCCAGGTTTAGGCTTCCTTGGGCGCACATCACCCGGCGACCCAGGCGAGACCTTCCCGGTCCCCACCACGCTCCAACTGAAACACCCCTGCCATTCGCGGTCGTCTGAGACTCGAACTCTTCTTTGTTCACTGCCAAAAAGTCCATCCGATGGACTTTCAGCACGCCCAATATTCCCCGTGATCGTCCATTAGCCAACCCTGTCGTCTCGTTTCGGCTCTCCAGATCTCTCGGCGCCATCGACGCTTCGGCAAAGGTTGTTTGCATGGAAGGTAGACTTGCTGCGCTCAGGATTGCCTCTGACAGCCTCGCTTGAACGGTGCTCATTCACTCCTTCTGCGACAAGTCAACCATCGACGCGTCTCTTACTGTTAACGGTCTCTGCCATCAGCTCCCAACGGCCGGAGTCCGGCTTTCCGGGTTAGTCGCGACCATTGCCAAACTTTCACTCAACCGTGACCACGACCGAATCCTTCACCACCAACACGCATCTGGACTCCTCTGACAGTCATTGGTCGACTCGAGCACCTCGATATCGCGCCAGCTTACGTATAATCACGCAAGTGGTTTAGACAGTCGTTCACTGCATGAGTCGAGGGTGGTCAGCCCAGCCTCTGGTCACGTGCCATCAATATGGCCAAACTTCATGCTTCGCCATTTTCCGCCAGGAACAGTCCCCGAGGTCGAAGGAGTGACGACAGTCCCTCGCGGCAACTACAATGGGAACTGGATCGGGCATTAGGTCAACTACATTTACACGAAATCGAAAGTTCCAAGCTTCATGCTTATCAGAAGCGTCAGCAGCAGGACGACCTCGATGCCCGAGAGGCGGCCCAGGCTCATGTCCATCAGCTAGAGCTCAATGCTGCCAATGCCCAGCATGAGGTTGTACGAAAGCAGGCCGAGGCTGTCCTCCAGGCCTACATCAAGAGGGAGGAAGAAGAACGACGAAAGCGTGAGGAAGACGAGCGAAAACGGTTAGAGGAGGAAGAACGACGAAGAAAGGCAGAAGAGGAGGCCCGCAAAAAAGCCGAGGAGGAGCGAAGAGTCCGAAAGGAGGAGGAAGCGCGTCGTGAACGGGAAGAACTTGCTCGGCAGGAAGCGGAACGCCGTGCAAAAGAGAAAGCTGACGCAGAAGAAAAGGAACGGAGAGAGAGAGAAGCCGAACAGCGAAGGCAGCAGGAGGAGAACGCAAAAGCGGAAAAGGAAGCCGCTCTCAGGAAGCTGCAAGACGAAGCCGCCGCGAAGGCAGCACTTACACCCCAGCCAGCCACAGAATCAACCACCTCCCGACCAACTCAAGCCCCTTCTTCAGGTATCGAGCAGCAACACCACGAATACCGGGCGCTCCACAAGAAGCTGAAGATCTTCCGATCAGAGTTCTGGACATCGACCAGAAAGGACGCAGCATTGAAACCACATGTTGGTGACATGCGACGGGCCATTCGAACAAGTGTGGGGCAACTGACCGATGACAAGGCCGCCAACAAAGTAGCAGTGAGTATAACCAGCCGCACTTCGGTGTAGGGGATGACCTCTGTACTAACATGTGTTACAGCACGACCGAGTCAAAACAACTCTGCTTCGAGCATTGAAGGGACTACCGTCGCCTCCAGCATCTGTCAGCGATTTCTTACCAGCACACCTCAACCTCGGGGATCGTGGCACGACCACTGTCCCATCATTGGTTCTGTATCTGCTCTCGATCTTCAGTAAAGCCGTCATGGCCGCCTTCGTTGGTGAATGCGCGGTCAACCCCAAAGCAGCTGAACCGATCGGCACCCTCGTTGCACAGATCTTCTCCATGCCCGATCTCCAGTTCGCCCGAAACGCGCCTGCCAATGATTCCTCCCGAACCCCTCCAAATCAATCGCTGATACCGATACTCATGTGCAAATTTCACGCCGCTGCTCCTATCCTTTTCGGCATCTCTGGCTCTGAGTCCACCGCAGCAGGCAAGCTCCGACTTGGCTGGCGTCTCGATCGAATCGACGATTCCGCCGATTCGAAGCGCGCTTTTACCACTCAGAATAAACACTACGACCGTCTTACAGGCCTCGGTGTCGGCTATGCCTCTATTGCGCTGCGGAACTTCTCAAAGGCGAGATTCCAGAACCCGTGGCCACCTGTGCATTTCTGGTCGAGTCTGGCGCATATCATCAACACCCCTCCACGAGAGGTTCAGACAAGTCATCTCATCCTGTTGAAGAACATGTTGGAGAATAATTCAATCGATCGCTTTGTGCTCTTCTTTGGGGCCGTCGGCGTTGCGGCATTGAGGCAGGCAGTTGTGGAGTTCCCGAAGTCTCTGCCCCATGAACTGCAGGAGAAGCAAGTGACCAAGTCATTGCATCTCATGGTGGAAGGGTGGAAGAAAGAAAATCATTTCTCGCTTACATAGGCTGCAGGCCCGTTCGGAACCATTGGAATGGCGGAGAGCCCTGGTTCGGGAAACGCTAAATGCTGCCCTTGGGTCACCGTGAGGCGACTGAGCAGAGGTGCGTGGCGCTTTTGCTCCGCCAGGGTTCGTCCCAGCGATATCGCACTCGAGCTTGTTAATAGCGATGTGTTGCGACCATAAATGAAAGTCATGCCAGCCGCAGACAGCAACCCATGTGCTCAGGGGGAAGTAGGAGTTTGAGCCAATGTGACGATCCAACCACAACGCGGAGCAGGAATTTGGCGGTCTCATAAGCCTCGCCAGCTTTGCACCGGTTATTCGTAAACTAGATCAGGTCCAGCTTGTCTGCACGTCGCAGAAACAACGCTCGCCCCCGGGGCAGGTCAGCCCTTTCATCCCCATCGTGGGACCAAAAGTCGGTCGCAATGCGTGAGATCCAGATCGTCGTGTACATATTTACTCGCCTTTGCCTGCTCTTACCACGAATCTCACGGCAGATGTATCCCCGTGCTTCTGAACTCGACTGAACTCGAGCTCGCCAAACGCAGATTGCGCCTCGAGGGTGGCATCTCACAGTCACTATCCATACTGTGTACTCACCCAGTACTCCTTACACAGCCCCGGTAGAAGCTCCGCACGCGTTTCTGTCTCGCTGCTTGGCTGCTGCTCAGCCTTCGTATTGCCTAACTTGGCGCATACGAAGCTGAAAGTCTACACCACACGTGTAGATGACAGCTGAGCGGCAGCGGCGTGAGAGGCCTGTAGGATATATAGCAGCCTGAAGCAGAGCCACGTCGCAGGATTCGGCTCCAGCTCCAGCTCCAGCTAGAGCAGATTGAGTCTCTCAGACCCTCACTACACTGACCAGATCTCGTTGTCAGATCAGAAACAGCCTCAAGAGAACAGAACCGGCATGGACCGCTTCTGCTCACACGACCTCCACGAACGAATCGAAGTCCTACTCTCTTGATTTCCGATTCCCACCTGGCAAGCAAGCGCAAGCAAGCACAATCGCAGTGCGCACTGCGCGATGGGTCGAAAAGTCCACCTGGTCCGCCACGCCGAGGGCCTCCACAATCTTCGCGACGACCCGACTATCCCGGACGCCCCGTTGAGCGAACGCGGGCTCGACCTCGCCGAGGAGCTGGGCCGGCTCTTCATCCACGACAACTCGGACAGTGTGGGCGCCGTGCTGGTCTCGCCGCTCCGACGAGCCATTCAGACTTCTCTGGCGGCATTGCCTCGCGTCCTCGGCGCGGCACACTATCCCGCCAACTCGGGCAGAGGGGTCAGAACCGGCGGGGTGACTCTGGTCTTGGATCCTGACCTGCAGGAAATCAGCACCCCAGCCTGCAATGTCGGATCGCCGCCACGTGAGCTGCTGGTCGAGTTCCCCGAGTTGGCGGGCCAGATCGGCGGTCTGCCGTCCAGATGGTTCGAGAAGACCGGGCTGTGGTCGCCTGCTCGTGCCGCCGTTGCACAGCGGAAGATTAGGATTCTGCAACGGCTGTGGGATGTTTCTGAGCAGTTGCAGGGCAATCCGAGCGGGAGGGAGGATATCGTCGTGGTGACGCATGAAGGGGTCATGCTGGAACTTGTCCCAGGCGCGAATGTGCCGATGGGAACTTACAGGACGTTTACCTTGGTCAAGACGGGGACGGAAATCGTGCTCCGATGAGAGGGAGGGATGGCCCCCTGATACGAGGCAGAGGATGCCGACCGAGTGGAAAAGAATGCGAACGCACACAGCAGGGCGGGGTTTCCTACTGTATCAACGTTGATCAGTGAGCTCTATACTCATCTTGCGTATCTGCGGGATTTTGGATTTGTGAAGGACTTTATAATGTAGGAGAGGCAAGGGATGAGAAAAGCAGGCAGAATCGGCGTTGTTCGTCTCTTGAGATGCCTGCCTCTACCGTCGGTGTCAACATTTCAGTGAATACAGTACTAGCCAGTGTAAATGCATCGCCAGGTTACAGTCTCCCTGCAATGCATGGGCTTCGTCTCGTCAAGTATGATCCGCGCCTAGTCCGCAGCCGCCATAATTACCTTCGATGAATTCGAGAGTCCACGTCATCAGACTTCAAGTTTTCAACCAGCCCACGGCCATCCGAGGTGATAACTAGAACGACCTCATCATCGAAAAATGCTCACATTTCCTCGACCGGCAGGCCTCGGGTCTCTGGGATGTAGGCCCAGACAACGACCTCGCAAAAGACACACAAAGCCCTGAAGATCAAATACATCCTCCAGTTTCTGCTTGGCCCTATGTCAGCCAGAGTTCACAACAAAGATGAGCTGATGAAAGATGGGCAGTCCTTACATATTCCAAGAATCGACCGGCCCCGGCGTCGAAAAGGTGACCAACTCGTCTCAATTCGTCAGAGTGGCATACTCTAGAAAGCTCCTTTGCCAGGGTTTTGCTGGAGAACCTGATCTTCCCATTTCCGATTTCCCCTTCATTGTTATTCGGGTACGGTTTCCCATGTTCAAAAGCCACCCCTGTCCCGGTCCGGTCGTGCCGGCCTCGATCTGTTTACTTCACCCCTTCGCCTCACATCTCAAGGGTATGACCTCGCCCTATGGGCCCTACCTCTCCCGACCTCAACGGTAGTGTCAATACCACATCCCCCACTTTGCTCTCTGGGCCTTCATAGACACTGCAGCTCTCGTACCCTTGACTCCATAACCTCGCCCAGAAACTCCATTGTCACACTCCCCCGGCACCAAGGGCATGTCATAGCCTTGTTAGCGTTGGGGAGAAACCACTCAAGCAAACAGTCAGTATGGAAAGGTCGCTTGCAGCATTGGTAGGTCACGACAGGAGGACATCCAAGCTCACCTTCCATCCGCTCAAGAGCCTCACAGCAGACCGGGCAAGGATCTCCCCCCTCGTATGGCCGTGCCATCGGCGCTGGCTGGACCGAGGAAGGAATATTGAACTGATCTCGGAGTTTGGGATCGTGCAGGCCAGCAATCAGCCACCTCAGAAAGTACCGGCGTCTAGTCCGCTCGTATCGTGAACTGTACGCTCTGACCTTGCGCCCGGCGGCGAGAAGCCGCTCTTCCTTTGCGATTATATACCTCTCCACATCGAACAATCGTCCGTGGACCCGCGAAAGGCAGTTCCGGGCATGTTCGAGGGCATCCTGCCTCAAAGAAGCATTTTCCAGAGACGGGTAATCGTTGGGGGCGTTCGCGCGGCGAATATCGGTGTCATTCTCTTCGAGAGCCAGGAGAACATAGTAGCGAGGGTGAACCATCATATTCTCGGCCATGGCAGTGTATCGGTCGTTGACGTGTCTGAAAGCTTCCCTGAGGGATGATATGTCGAGTTGTCGATCAATAAGGAGGTTCAGCGTTGCGGCGTCTTCTATTTCTGGCCTGTAGACTGGCGTTCTCTGCGACTGGGGATCTCTGCGGATGATGGTCGACTTTTCCAACCAGTGAGGCGGAGGGAGGCAGGGAGCCGTTGCAGCTGCAATGTGGTCCCGGTCAACGTACACATCGTCGTCATCATCCACCGAGTCGCCGTCGTCCGCCGAGTCGTCGTCATCCACCGGGTCCTCGTCATCCGAATCGTCAATTTTCCCCTCCTCGTCTGTTGGACGGAGTTCTCTCGGTGCTAAATTCTTGTCGAAGATGTAGACTTCCCCCAGTTGGGTAAACTGGTAGAGACTCAACCTATTGTCGCTCGTGATAGCGGTGGAGAGGCGCTCAATCTGCCGTGCGTTTTCGTTGAGATGAGCATGAAACAGCGACCCCAGCCAGATTTGTCCGCAGCGCTCCCTAATGAGAGAAGTGAATTCGTAGAGGAGACGAGAGCTGCAGAGCTGTGGACGTCGGGCCAAGGCTCCCTGGAAGAGCCGCGCCATCGCGGCGACGATGCGATCAGCATCAGTGTTACCAGCCCACAGCTCTTCTCGAACAAAATTCACGATATGACGGCGGTGCTCATCAAGCAATGGATACTCAGCAGGTGGCGGGAGGGAGCGATTGAAAGTCCACACCAGATTTGGGATGTGCCGAATCGGGTGTCGTCTGAGCATATCGCGCACCTCCGCCTGCTGGCCCAGAGTCATCCCTTGGGGTAGACTGCTGGCAAGACTTTGAACCATTTGTTGCCATTGATCTAGAGGAGCCGGGAGTGATTCTGACGCAATGGTCTCACTCACTCTCAGTTCGATCTGATCCATGTCTATTGGCTCACCGTGCGGACTGGATCCGGGGGGATTGGTGATGGGATCCATTTTTGGGGTGTATCGAGATCTTCGAGCTTTGCTTGGAGTTTCCAAAAGGGCGTGTGACGGACAGACAACGAGGTTGACGGGGACTAAAGTAGATGAAGGGTTTGAAGCTGCTGAGGTTCCGGCAGCGACGCTGCTGCCACTGCCTTGGTGAGGCAGTTCGAACTTCCAGCGCCTAAACAAAGGAACTGCCACAACCTTTCTAGGACGAGCTCGGATTTCCATTGTGCGCAATCAGTCACTTACAGAGTATGATCCCAACTGCCCAGGTCGAAGTTCGAACCAGTGTCAAGACGTTGACTGGGGCTCTTAGTCAACTTTGAACTTCGAATCCTTCTAATAACCCCGGACTCGACCAAAAATCCCGCGGATTGAACCATCGGGGCCTGTACATTTATATGTCAGGCCATGTTGCTAGGGTTGCAATGCACAGATAGCGGTTACTTGATCATTTCGTGACTGTACTGAGTTATCTGTCAGAACGGCGATCGTCCCGGTGGTCGACGAGCGGAGAGGCGGTAGTCGTCCAGCTTGACAGGTGTGTCTTGCTGCACCTCCTCCAGCTTTGAGATACCTTCCTAGACGGGCTGCACATGGAACCTCACGTTTCACACGTCCGTCAGAGTCTGGAGATGTCGTATGGCATGTAGCCCCCGAATGCGATCCTGACGTACAAGCCGGCAAGCTTTAGCTTCCACGGCGTAAACAAGCTCCTGTCGCGTTTCATCTGGGTTTCTCAAGAGTGGGAGAATATCCCGGGTCAGCCGTGCATTGCTCGTGCCCACCACAACTAAGCACATATGTCCACGGGATCCAGCAAGTGAGTGAGAGAAGAGGTTCAAGTTGTCAAGACGGCGCAGTCATAGGAAGACGCAGATGTTAATCCACCGCATACAGTAAGTATTGACGTTGCTGTCCTTTTCGCCACTAACTCACGTGTCGGGCCGTTGTAACATCCTCGCCGCACACGCCGTCGAAGGGTAGGGTTGATAATGTATCGAGGACGTTCGCTCACTTCGGAAGCAGAGCCAGAGCGAAAGTCCGTCATCGATTGGGTGGAGTGCAAAACGATTTACTGTATGTGGGTTCAGAATGTCGGTCGGCCATGACCAGGAGAAGTTCAGAGGAAGGTGCTGAAAATCACCTGGTGAGGTAGCAGACAGGGAAATGGAAAGAACGACATTTGAGATCAAGTTCGAGTCCATTGTACGGAGTACGGAACACACAGCTGATTGTCTCGTAGGAGAACGAAGAGCTCGAAAAAGGAATAGCTCCGGTGCCGGCGCGATCAAATACTCAAAAATCACTAAAGGCGGCGTCGCAAATCACACCACTTGCGACTGGGCATCCTTAAAGCAGCATGAGGCCTGACGACCGTCCGGCCCAGACATTGAACGTTTCCACTCGCAATTTGAATCAGTACATAGTAAGTATTATTTTGCTTGGACGCGTCTCGGGAGACTTGCACCATATTGTTGTCCTGTACAGTATGCGGCCTTCACTTGCCCTGCAGCTCTCCAAAGTGCAGTTGACACTGTTTACACGCGCAAACTGCGGACTCTGCGACGTGGCCAAGTCACGCATCGTCGAATTCAACAAGAAACAATCAGAGCCGGTCAGATACTCAGAGGTCGACATTATGGAACAAGGTCAGCAGAAGTGGAAGGATGCTTATGATTTCGATGTACCGGTGCTACATATCGACCGCATTCTGGAGACGGGCAAAGACTTTCAACCCGGTCTCGACGCCGCTTGCAAACTCATGCATCGCTTTACCGTGGAGGAAGTGCAGAAGGCTGTTCGCCAGGTCGAGGGTGATTCGTCTTGAAGTACGGAGTACGCACCGGCATCATTTGAGTCTCTATTTCTTTTCCTGTGTCACCAGATTAGCTGCGCCGTACGCAGCCCCTTTCACGGCTTGAGCCGCCGCATGGCCATACGAGCCCTTGGCTTTTGACAGTGACTCGGACATAAATACTGGGATGGCGGTCATATCATTGACAACGGAGATCTGGAAGTCATGATCAGCACGGGCAGCGGCACGGCAGGGATGAGATTATGGCCCACCATCTGGAATCCCTCATCGGCGTATCTCCTGGCAAATTCCCCAGAAGGACAGTATATTCCGGACTTCTTTCCAGCATCTTGAGCGGCCTTCAGAATCCTCGTAATAGCAGCCTTTAGCTCGGGGCTAAAATCGCCCTGTACTGGGTGTCCGATGTTGTTTCCGAGATCCCAGGGTCCAATGAAGAGCACGTCAATCCCGTCGACCTTTGCGATCTCCTCCACCTGCACGCACATGTTAGTCCCTGTCCCCGGGCTTCAGCCAGCCACTTGAGATATTGTACGCACTACGTCCAGAGCTTCCTTCGTCTCGATCTGCACAATCGTCAGGAGGTTGTCGTTTGCGTTCTTCATATAGTCGAAACCCGACAGATCTCCCTTGACGTCGAATGCGCCCATGGAAAATGGACTGCCGAATCCTCTCTTCCCATACGGCGGGAACTTGGCTGTCTGGACCAACCTCTTGGCGTCTTCGACTGTGTACAGCAAAGGCACGATGATGCCGTGTGCGCCGGCGTCGAGCGCTCTCTTCACCATCCATCCTTCATTGGCAGGAATTCGAACAATCGGGCTGACGCCGACCGAGGCTACCGCATGAACGGACTCGTGCATCTCGTTGTCTGCAAAGGGATTAGAGTTCGGTTAGCATTGGCTTTTCGTCAATATGAGGCCTGACTCCAGGACAGAAGGCCCCTGGTGGGCATATACCTGCAATGTTTCCGTGCTCGGTGTCTATGCATATCCAATCGAACCCAGCTCGAGCGATCGTCCTTGACAGATGCGTGCCTGGGAGCATCTGCCATGCGCCGAACGACAGACCAGATCCCGTATTGAGCGCCTTGCGCAAGGTGTTTGCATTCTTCAATGCAGTTGCCATGTTGACAGTAGGGACGTAGGAGAACTAGATTGGTAGAGCTGCGCTATCTGTATCGGTTGCCGCTCGACGCGCTCGAGAACAAATATATGTTCGATGTCCGCGACCGGGAAATGGGGTGAGACCGAAAAGAGGAATGCAAGGAACCGGACTTTGACCACTCGTTAACGTAGGGCGCGCCCTCTGGTATATTTGCGAGCCTGTATGGGAGGTCCACGGCTCGAAATCCGTACAGTGGTCGCCGTTGTCGGCTTCCCGCGTCCAAATTGTCAGTGGCGCGGGGTAAAGCGTACCGATGACGCTGGCGCCCTCTCGAGCCAACCTGAACAATAACTGACCGAGGATGTTTGTTGGAGTAAATGTTCGGCGGAAGCTCAACCGAGACGCGCCTCCCCACGCACCCCACGGCCCCCACGGCTCCTGCTTGTACAGAGAAGAGGGTGTAATTGTTGCGAGACTCCTGTGAATGCGACCAACAGTATTGGATCGATTCCCAAATTTACAGCTGTGCTACTATATCTTGCTGCTCCCTCTCGGCCGCTCCAACGACTGGGTAGCATTGCGATAGTTCTTGACCAGCTGGCGGATGGCCAGATCAAGCATCACGTCCTCGCTGCCACCAGGTATCCGGGCACCAGGGACCTCTCTGTACATCCGTTCTGCGATCTCGCCCTGTCCTGTGCGCGTGTATCCGTTACCGCCGAACAACAGCACTGCGGTCTGAGCACATTCATTCAGAACCATGCCGGCCTTGGCCTTTGCGAGAGCTGTCAACCCACCAAGTTTGACGTCTGCTTCGGCCTTGGTGAGCTGGGTCATTTGATACACGAATTGCTCGACCCAGGCTTGCAGCGACTCTAGTTCTGCGCCCGCCTTGGCCAACCGATGACGGACCACCGGCTGCTCGATTAACGCCTTCCCGAAAGCCTCACGTCTCATGACATATTCGAATGCCGCGGAAAGAGCGACGCGTGCTTGTCGTGTCACTCCGACAGCGATGAGCAACCGCTCGTGGTTGAAGTTGGTCATGACGTAGCGCATTCCCATGCCCTCCTCGCCGATGAGGTTCTCAGCGGGCACCTTCACATCGTCGAGCTCGATGTAAGTTGTCCCTGCACTGACTTGTCCGGCCACCTTGAGTCGGCGCATGGTCACGCCGGGGTAGCCTTTCAGCGGGCACACAATCATGCTCAGGCCTGCAGCGCCAGGGCCACCCGTACGGACAGCCATGGCCGCATAATCGGACCAGAAAGCATTGGTGATCCATTTCTGTCGCACATCAGCTAAACTCTACCAGGTTCAGCGGCGGATATTACCTTTTGCCCATTGATGATGTAGTGCTTCCCATCTGGTGTCTTCACTGCTGTGGTTGCAATGTTGGCGACGTCACTGCCAGCGCTGGGCTCCGTGATGGCAATACATGCTCGTTTCTTTCCCGGCAGCAGGTCTGGAAGGAATTTCTCGTGCAGCGCCTTGCTGCCGAACTTGATGATGGGAGGGATGCCTGCAGACCGTTGTCAATAAACATGCTGCACCCAAACGCCGACCGAAACCCACCGAATGAGTGGCCGGCAGTCATGGAACCGCCGGGGCCGGTGACACCAGGTCGGGCCATCTCGTCCAGGTATATTCCGGTGTGCAAATAGTCCCATTCTTCCACGGGCGTCCCCAGGATGTCGTTGATGCCCACTCTTTTCAGCCATTCCACCGGGAGAGGCGCAGGGAGATTAGGGATCAACATATTGTGTTTCTTGAACGTCTCGAAGAGATGGTCCGGGACGGTTTCCTCGCGCTCCCACTCCATAGCATAGGGCATTAGATGTTCCTCGATAAAGGCTCGACATGCTTTCTGAAACCGCTTGTGTGTTTCTCTGTAGTAGGGGGAAGGAAAGCCTGCCAACCAGGGCGGCTCAGAGAAAGGGACGATATTCGATGAGGACATTGCGAAGATCGGGCTTGAAGGCGAGCAGCTCAAGAGGTTCGGTTGATGCAGTTCCCAGGTGTGTACACGAAACGAGAAGGATCTGAGCTAAGGCAACACTGAACTCAGCCCGGCCCAAAATATATTGTCGATGCGACGCGTCGGGATCGAGGTAAAGCCATGTTCCCTAGAGACAAGGGGCTGGAGGCTGACCGACTGTAGCCGTGGACCGACCACCGAGAGATACCTCGGAACGGCTCCAGCTAATTATCTGGAGGTGGGGCCACAGAGAACCGCCTTGGTATCTCGTATCTCGTATAGACCCCGCAGATTCCGGGCCGCAGCCTTCCACGTGATATTCGTCAACGCTTCACACGTGGGTGACATGAACATGGCTGCACGGTTACTTCTCGCCACCACTCTGGTCACTTGACCTGCCCTTCTCCCCCACAAGCTAGTTCTCCAGACTGTGGGAGAGGTTTCAGAGGTTTCTGGGGTCTTCTTGTTCGACACCGTCCAAACCTCGACGTCAGTGTTGAAGGAAATTGCTGCGTAGGTACCATTGGAGAGAAGCTTGCTACAGATATACTTCAGCGGATCGTCATCTCCGCCTTTATCGGCCGCGTTGAAATGGACTGGATTGCCGCAATTCCTCTTCGACTGGCTGAACTGGGGCTACTTCCCTTTGCCACGATGCCAGAAAGGGGAGGTTTTGATCTTCAACAACCATTTTGGTATCGTGGCACTCTGCGCTTGCCGTCTTACCCCAGGTCCACCTCGACAGATGCCACTCTACTGGCCCGTCGACACAAAGTCAATTGTCGGTCGGTATGTCACTGGCTCGCTTAGTGCTGCAGTTGCATGTCACTACAACCAACCATGACACGATTGCGCCATCTTCTGAACCTTATGCTACTGCTTTGGGACTGTATTGCACGGAATGCTCGCGACAGCGAGATCCCGTCCAGGTCAATCACTCCGTCATGGCGAATATGGCTTGCACAAACTGCTTAAATATGTCCTGTGCCGGACCACCATCTCTGGGAGGAAAATTCTATCAGCTGCCGGGAGGACAACCACAATAGGTCAGCCAAAAGTGAGTATTTCAGCGTTCTCTTCCACCAGGACAAACAGCGACAACCATGAACGTCGACCGTCCAGCCCGGCGGATTCGTCTCCCATGGCAGAGACGCGAGTCGATACTTCCCAACGAGGATGAGACACTAGTCTCTCGCCGCGTCCCCCTTTTCAACTTCCTTCCGCTCGGTGTGAAAAACCACCTTGTCGCCATGCTGGGTGAGTTTGTCGGGACCTTCCTCTTCCTGCTCCTGGCGTTGGGAGGGACAAACGTTGTCAACACAGCGCCGGAACAGGGCCAGCCCGTCGACCTGGCCGCCAACCCTGCCAAGCTGTCGTTCATCGCCCTGTGCTTTGGGTTCTCCCTAGCGGTGAATGCGTGGGTATTTTTCCGGATCAGCGGTGGACTGTTCAACCCTGCTGTAAGTCATCGTTGTCATTCTCCAAGCAAAGCTCCTCCTATCGGGTAGTACCGTGCGGGCATGACTGATTCCACAAGGTCTCTCTCGGAATGATGATCGTCGGTGCCGTATCCTATCGACGCGGCTGCCTTATCACCGTCTCCCAGATCCTCGGCGGCATCGCCTCGTCTGCTGTCGTCTCCTGCCTCCTGCCCGGGCCGCTCAACGTCGGCACGTCTCTTGGAGGAGGAACATCCGTTGTGCAAGGTCTCTTTATCGAGGTATGTATATGTATATATATATGTATATACATGTATAGCCGAGTTCCTTGTCTACACACCCTACTGTCCCTCAGACCTCGAGTCACACACTCACGCATGTCCTTCTTCGCTTTCAGATGTTCTTGACCGCTCAACTCGTCTTCACCATTTTCATGCTCGCCGCCGAAAAACACCGCGCGACCTTCATCGCCCCCATCGGCATCGGCCTCTCCCTCTTCATCGCCGAACTCATGGGCGTGAACTATACCGGCGGGTCCCTGAACCCCGCGCGCTCGTTCGGCCCTTGTGTCGTCCTGCACTCCTTTGACTCTTATCATTGGATCTACTGGCTGGGGCCCGTCCTCGGGGCGTTGATCGCCAGCGGGTTCTACATGTTCATCAAGGCGCTGGAGTATGAGACTGTCAATCCCGAGCAGGATGCCAGCGGGCATGAAGGCCGGGCGTTCGATCCGCGGTCGGGTGTTGAGCAAAGAATCGACCTCGAGAGTGGAGAGGAGAAGCCTGGTGCTACGGGTTCTACTGACGGGGCGTAAGCGTTGAAGCACCAACACACGGGTGCTGCTGGTGATATATAATGTAGCAGACGAGAGAATACTGGGAAGATCTAAGCAGGGTTGCATGTGCGAGTGCGGATCTCGAGGCTGGCGCTGGCGCTGGCCATGGTGCCAATGCTCCCTATTTCTCTCCGGCAAAAGGCGATGTGAGCTTACTTAGCTATGTACTAGTATGCAGGAGAGTTAGAGCCAATATATGATAGTTCATCACGACTTGTGTGGACATCCGCGGAATAGTTGATGGCTTGAACACCATGGCCACAAATTCCACCGCGAGCGCCGGTTTGATGTTAGGATAGCCAGAGGGCAGTAGTGGGAAGTACATATACATGAGTCTTCCGCTGTCTCTTCATATCTTCGAATCGAATAGGTCCTATCCTCAGCCCGCGCTGGCAGACCCCTGAAATTAGGCGTCCCATACGCTGGGCGTTGCGAGAATACACAGTACCACCACGGTGCTGTGATACAGTCCATCTTGGACTCGGTCGCCGGGTACACAGGACTTCAAAAGTCGCCAAAGTCTCCCTCAATGAACGTTCTAGCTGAAGCGGAGCGATTCGAGGCAGAAATGCAACAGTCATGGAGGGATGGCGAGAGCCCACCCAAATGCTGACGCTTTCCCCTACCGGACCGATGCTGTGCATGCTCTGGTCCCTCCGACTGGTAAACGCTCGGGAGTGCCACCAGGAACGACCAGAAAAGAGCAGCACAGAATACTCTTCACAAGATCACAGATGACCTGGTGATCAGGGGCTGGTCGGGTGCTTTCGTCCCTTTCGGTTCAAGTGCCTTAAGAAGGCTGCCGCGACCGCGTTGAGCTGGACTCAGTTGGGAGATCAACACTCAAGTACTCCCGTTCGAGATGTCTGACAACCTGCGCACACTAGCCACGCCGTTTCGGATGAAATAGGCAATGCTGGGCAAAGAGCTACGGTGGCGGATACATGCTGATAAATTCGAACCGTCGGCAGACGAACCCTCTTTCGAGGCTCTGATTGCGCATTCGACTCTTGAAACATGAGTATTGTCGCGCTCTGCGCTCTCAAGCATTGTCAACCTAAAGGACTCTCCACCAAGGATTCGGTGGGCGCTGATCGACAACGATCGCATCCTAGGAGAGTTCCGCGGATCGTAAGGCGAATACATCACGCTTATAGTAGCTGAAAATCCCAACAGAAGACAATGCTGGCCCGGCAGGACCGGGTCACAGCCAGACATCCTTATGGATAAGAGGCTGTAGATTTGTGTTCGGAGGATTCCTCGGTGCTGGTGCAATGGTCTCACCTCCAGGCAGCTCGAATGCCACCATCCACGCGCTCAGCTTGTGCATCTCACGAACGAATCTTCATATATTCGTCACGGCAACTGGTGCAGTACTCATCATACCAGTCCGTTAGCTCCTTGCCCACGCCGGTGGAGTTCTGTGACAGGTCGCCTAGCACAATTCCCTCCACGACTTGACAGCGGCGATGCTCCGCCGTCACCCACTGTTCCCATGCAGCCAGCATCAATTCTTTCTCGACGCTGTTTACCACTCGCACCGCGACCAGAAGATTATGACGGTGAGACGCCAATCTCTGCCGATTTTGCTGCACCTGTGCTGCTGGGCTGTCGCTTCGTCCCGCGTGGATATATTGAGGATCATGCTCGTCATAGAAGACTTTGTAGCACGCACTCGAATCAGAGGCAGGTAGATGTGCGTCACGACTGAGAACCTCATCCAAGTCACTGAGGTATACGGCCCGACTCATGACAGTGTCTGGGGAAACACCGAGTCTAGCCATGAAGTTTCCAGCTTTGCGCTCGTGCCACCAATCCAGCGAATCGCGGTATGTGTGCCAACTATTGTATAGTGCGGATAGGACAAGTGCGGCTAATATAACTTTGTTGGCGGAGAAGGTCCTCGCCAACCACCTCAAAATGCTCAAAACCGACTGCAGGAGGGTCGCTGCAATACTCTCAGCTGTGGAGGTGGCGCTTTGGGCTAGCAGCCCAGTCATGCTGCGGGTAGTCGGCTGTCTTCTCAGTTCGATGTTCACGGCTGCTGCATCCATCAGAAGCTGCGTGGTCTCTGTCGAGTGGCCCACTTGACCGAAAATCTGAATGGCTCTCTTCGTGCGACTATGCGCGCCGAGTTTGCTGACTTGATCCGCAACGAGGTCTACAAGGTCTTGACAATCGAGTTCGAGGTCGTACAAGGCCTGTCGCTCGACGACGCCACCCAACAACCAAGCCGGACGGAGCCATTCGATTTTGACAAAGACAGCAAGCTTGCACTTGGCTTTGGCGGCATGGGTGATCACGACCTTGCTGACAAGGCGATGATTGTTCTGGTAGGGCAGATGCCAGGGTGTTCGCTTGTCTGTAACGACATAGCACAGATGATCACTGTTTACGTCGATCACCTGGTAGTCTCGAACCCAGGCGTATGATTCTCGGCCAAGGAGGCTTACAGTTGGGCTGTTGAAAGTCAACTCTCTTCGAAATCGTCCTTCCCCTAGACTCAGCCATGGTCCCTGTGATATATTCTTAGCTCGTCTCTCGCGGTGTAGGAGCTGCCAAAGTATGCTCTTATCTCCAAACATGACGTGGAATAACGCCTTTGCGCTAATGTCGAACTCCTTTTCGACCGCAAGCCGTAGATTCCCAGGCGGCGCATATTTTACCGGTAGAGCAGGAAGCTTGAACTTCGATTCCCGGCGTCCTATTTGGGTGTGATGGAGCGCACGATCGATTCGTAGTGGGCCTTTCAACTCTGTCCCTGTGGTTGAAGCCCTGCTTCGATAGCGCGGACCGCCTGTGTCGACCGGCGTGTTCGGCGACACGTCCTCCCAGCTTTCGAGGCTCGGACTCCGATCAGGAGTTTCAGTCTCCATCCTGATCAAAGCCTTCATGATTTCCTCCAAGCCCAAGGGTGAATCGGATACACTGTTCCTGATCAAAAAGTTCATTCGCCTTTGTAAGAGCCTCAGCGGCTCCAAGAACGTCTTAATCGTGATCCTGCGTGCATTTCCATCTCCTGTACCTTCTTTGAGGTGCAGAAAGATGAAATCACAATCTCTCCCAGGAGCAGCGGTAGCCTCGTCGATTGCACTGAGAGACACGCTAGATGTGAGGACCAGGCCCAGATGGTTGCTGTAGAAATAGACGTCTCGTGGCGTCACATACACTCGGCCTGGGAAATCTTGCTTCTCGCTGGGATTCCAGGTCGCGCGAAAAACCATCACCAGACGATCATCGCGCCTTAAGGAAGGGAAGAGAAGACGGAACTGTGCATCCTGCGACTTAAGCTGCAGAGGATAGTAATTCGGGAACTCAGGTACCAGGAGTTCGCTGCTGAGCTGGTTTGCCGTGACACGATCCACACTTATAGTGTTCCTATGCTGTCTCTTGCTCGGCGATGGTGTGCGACTGCGCGCCCCCGGTTGAGGGATACTCAGATCAAGGTGTGGAATTGGACTTTGCGAAGGAAGAGCCGAGCGGGCTGGGGAAGCCAGCGCTTTTGGAGGTGAGGAGGAGGGCACCAGGGCAGGACTTCGGTTGGCCAGCAGCTTCACCTCAGCTCTCTCATTGCTCTCAGCGCGCTCAAGTCGGTTGACATAAGCTGTGCATGAGGTTCCCCATGTGTTGGCCAGAATACCATTGGGGATCCCTGTCTTGTCGGGAGCAGGACTTAGGCCGCGCTCACCAGTGATGATCACTGCAGATCGGCTCAGATTCGTCGGCGACGGAACGGAAGCAAGAGTCGACGGTGCTAGGCTGCTGGCAGGCATATCTCGAAGAGCCAAGGTGAAAGTACTTCGCGGCTTGGGGAAGTCGCCTTCGGTATTGGGAACAAGAGGGAGACTGGGTCCGACAGGCATTGAACCGTGGCTAGCTGCTATCAAGCCCGCAATGCCGCCTGGCAGATTTGGTGTGGATGGGCTGGGAGACACTTGGGTTGACGCTGGGCTTTTCCTGTGCAAGTCCAATCTGGAAAGTATGCGAGAGGCAGTGTCTCGCTGCGCAACCTCCTCTAACGCTGTCGACCTTCTGGACAGATCCACACTGGTCTCGCGTCCGTGCTCTGTGCCAGGAACAGGGAGAGTATGTGTCTTTTCCAAGGCAGGAACGTCCTCACCGGCGCCTGGCTGCGTCGAGCTAAGGATAGACGCCCCAAACTCGGGAACTGGTGGCGCACTTATCGCAAAGGCAGCACCGGCCTGCAGGTTTCCACCGCCGGAAACCATGGTTGGCAAAGCATCGCCATCATTGACAGCCTTGGACTTGGCTGTTTGGAAGGCGTCTATCCAGTCAACGAGCTCTGCCTGTGTTTCTGCTTGCAGGAGAATTGTGTTTTTGTTCGTCTTTAGCTCGAAGCAGAAGCGACGTTCTTCCGTGGGAGCAGGACGGACATTACACAGTAGAACGCCAATGCGCTCGCTCTCTTCAACCCCTGCTGCTGTTGTGCTCTGTAGCAGCCAGCCAAAGACCCCACTGCGAACAAATGCCCACCGCTTCACCCAGACAGTCCGAGTGGGTTTCCCGCTGTAGGTTCGCAAAAACAACCAGCCTTGCTTCTCGCCTGTCTTGGAAGCAATTTTCTTCGGGGAACGCTGCAGTGTGGAAGTGCTAGCGCTGTGACCGTGGCCGGCGTGGTGAGGAACAGTGGACAATGTGTAATCCTCCAACTCGCGTGAGGGCCGGGTTTCTAATTCAGCAGCATCCTCCAGTTGTTTCTTTGCGGCGAGTAACTCGCTACGGAAGATCTTCTCGCTGGACTCCATCTCCGTTAGCCAGCCCCTAATCCTCTGCATCTCGTCAGCGCTCCGCCCAAATGTAGCCGCAGTGTTATCTCGCGACATCCTCATCTCCCGCCACTGGTCAAAGAACATCTTGACGAGTAGTCTGTCCAGTGCGAAGCGAAACTGTGGGGTCAAGCTGAAAAAGTCCATCATGGCTTTGATGTAGACCTTTCGAGCCTCATGCAGTTGGAAAGCTTCCTCTCTCAGCGAGGACGGTTCCTTGGATTTGCCTAATCCAGCGTATTTGCCCTGAAGATGTTCGAATGTCTTTTGGGCCACTTCCACCGCGCGGCGAGTCTCCTTAAATGCCCGCAGATCATTCTGCAGAAACTGTCTGATAGGATCAACGACCATCGAAGACAACCTCTTGACCACCGCTACCATGCTCATCCAATAGTCTTTGGCTCCATCGCCGTACCTCTTCATAGCAAGCACGCTGTAGTCATGGTCCAGCATTGACTCAGACAGAGAGGTGGGGAGGATGGAGTGGGCGATGAAGCCGTTGAGGACATTCTCCAGGGTCAGAGATTCGGCCACGAGTCGGGTGGCGGCTTTGGCATACTCATCGAGCCATTTTTCGAGAAGGTCAACCTGCTCGCCGTAGTGGACAACTGTAGCACGGGCGGTTGGGGAATCGATAGCGGCTTCCTTCAGTCCGACCGGGATCAGGTTGATCAATCTTCCCACCTCGTCGGGAGGTTGCAGCGCCTGCGCCATGGTTGCTGTCACGACCTGAGGAGCGGAGTAGGTAGAGGAGGGATTGTAACCGAGTGCAGGCGAGTCATGGGTCAGGCTGTCTCAACGTCTGCGCGCACAAGAAGTGAAACAGTATCAGAAGGCCAGGCAAGGCGATAATAGGTGAATTGGCTCAGCCGAGGGATTCTGTTAAAAAGTTATAGACTTGATAGGTACGAGGACTACAAAACGCGTCTTGAGGTTGGCTTGATTCGGACTCGAGGGACCAACGACGTCAAGCTGCGCATCGGCGCATCACACACCGACCGGGGCTTGGAGCCAAGACAGGTCAACAACGTTGATACTGGACGCACCACGAACGCAATGGGACGGATGTCTACGGGAAACAATCCTGTGGCCGAGAAGGCGTTAGCAATTTCTATGAAAACTCACATCATAATGGAGCCGAGAGACGAGTCTCAAGGGATACGCAGCCTCCATCCCATTAAGTCACTTGTGCGCAGATGAAGCATTGCAAAGATTCACGGCTGCGTCATGTCTGCATCTACTGTGTACTCGACGGAGTTGTCATAATTCTTATAGGCCTAGTATCCGCATAAATAAATAAGTCACGAGGAGCATATTCGACTCGCGGTTCAAATTAGTCGATGACAGCTTTCCTATGTTTGGCAGCTGTTCCTGAAGCCAGGCTCTCAGAAAGAATTGATAGCGGAGCAGAACCTACAAAGCAGTCGGAGCCGCTAACAATATTGCCAAGCCTCGGTGTCGCAACTTTCCGTGCGCATGCGGAGAAACTTTTTGAGCCACGGAGCCACGAGCATGGCAAACCTTTCCGACCGACATAGATCCTGAATCCATAACCGCAGAAAAAGACCTTCTTGTGCATGCTCCAGCCTTCTCCAGCCATGGTTCGCGAGTTGTTAAGTAGCGACTCGTCCGATAGCGAGGACGGGGCGGCGGAGATCCTATCAAAGCCGGCGCTCAAGGTCAACGAGGAATACGCCCGGCGCTTTGAGCATAACAAAAAGAGGGAGGAACTGGCGAGATGTATGAAATCGCCTAGCGGCTGAATTCAATCCGAATACATGCTGACTCCTGTCACAGTGGAAGAAAAACTCGGCAAATCCTCCACGGCTCGAAAGCGCAAGCGAGACGCAGCCGACGATGTGGGCAGTGACGAATCTGGTTCTGATGAGTCGACGAGCGAGTCCGAAGATGAAGGGGAGTTTGCTACCGAGGCGCTTGACAGCGAGATCATGGCTACCATCAATGCCATTCGTTCGAAAGACCCCCGAGTCTACGATGCGTCTACCACATTTTATTCTCAGGCCGACGATGAGCAAGAGGTGAACGCCAAGACCAAGAAGGAGAAGCCAATGAATTTGCAAGACTACCATCGACAAGTTCTGCTTAATGGCGGTACAGTCAAAGACGAAGAAGACGCTGCTCCGTTGTCATACAATCAAGAGCAGGAACAACTGAAGAAATCAATCATTAGTGAAATCCACGCAGCTGCGGCCCAGTCCGATGATGGAGGTGAGGAAGATGGCACCGGCGAGAACAAATTCTTGGTTGCGAAACGCAAGGAGAAGCCATCTAAGAAGCAGCAGCCTGTTTTAGACGTTGAAACCGCGGACAAAGACCCTGAGACATTCCTGTCAAATTTCATGGCCTCGAGGGCCTGGGCAACTTCAGATGCTGCGTCCCTTCACCCCTTTGAATCGGATGACGACGACGAGGAGCGCCGAGCAGAAGAGTTTGAAGAAGCATACAATCTCAGATTCGAAGATCCGGAGAAATCGAACGAGAAGCTGCGCTCGCACGCGAGGGATCTGGCCGCGAAATACTCGGTGCGGAGGACCGAGGCAAACCCGAGACAGAAGAAGAGAGAGGCCGAAAAGGCCCAGAAAGAAGCTGAGAAGCAGTTACGGAAAGAAGAGAAAGCTCGCCTGCGTAAGCTGAAAATTGAAGAGCTCGAGGAGAAGGTGCGGAGAATCAAGCGGGCCGCTGGTATCAGGAGCAAGGATATCCGGCCTGAGGACTGGTCGCGTTTCGTCGACGGCGACTGGGACGATGCGATGTGGGAAGAGGAAATGCAGAAACGCTTTGGTGATGAATACTATGCTGAGCAAGATGCTGCGAGCGACAGCGACACAGAGGGGAAGCGGAAGCCTCGGAAGCCCAAGTTCGAGGACGTCATCGACATAAAAGATATAGTTCCCGATTTCGAGGAGAACGAGACGGCGGATTTCAGCTTGACAGAGGAGGAAAAGCCGGCAAAGAGGCGGAAGAAGAACAAAAAAGCGGAGGAGGACGACAAGAGAGACGCCAGGCGGGAGCGAAGGATTATCGAACAACTGGTCGATGACCAACTCCAGATGGAACTTGACGCATCCGTGCCAAACAACAAGAAAGCCGCCGGGTTCAGATATCGAGAGACATCACCAAAGAGCTTCGGTCTGACCGCCAGAGATATCTTGTTAGCCGAGGACAAAGCCTTGAATGAGTTCGCCGGCCTGAAGAAGCTGGCATCTTTCCGCGATCCCGAGAAGAAACGGAAAGATGCAAAGAACTTGGGGAAGAAAGCGAGGCTGAGGAAATGGCGCCTGGACACGTTTGGTAATGAGGAAGGTCTCAATGCGAGCAATTTGATCCCGCCGCAGCTGGACAACCAAGAGAAGGTCGACGAAGATGAGGGTGGAGTTGACATAAAGACCGAAGGAAAGAAGAAAAAGAAGAGAAGAAAGAGCAAGAAGGCGAAGGTGGAAGTCGATGCTGTTGCTGGATGAAAGAATATCCGTGCGACTGTAGCCAATTCAATGCTCTACACTCTTGCCATGCATGAGACGTGTACGGCACACGCACCTGTGACAAGTGTGGAAGTGTAGCACATGGGACCCAATTGGTAGCTCGTAACTCGTAGTCGACAGCTGCATAAAGAGCCGCACTTTCTCGAAACAAGCTCTAATTACGAGGTAGGTACTCCGTACTTCCTGCAAATCTGGAGAATTATGTGGACCGTTGGAAAAAATGTACAATGTACGGAGTACTCGGTGGTGCTTTGCGGTAAAATGGGCGGCGACAGCAGCTGAGAAAAATTATCCCACGCCCGACCGGACAACCCGAGGCTGCGCCCGGACAAGCGCGATAGGGGCAACGGTTGCTATGGGCTGGCCCAGCCAGGAGAATGATTGGGGTGAGGAGGTGTGGATGAGGTCTCAGCCAAAAATTTTGATTGCAGACGATAATTGCCCGGGGCGGACCTGAGGGCCTTCCTGCTTGGGGGTTGATGGTCGCTCGGGAAGACCGCGCAACGCAAAGCACAACGTGAGATCAGGGCCTTGCCGTATCGGGTTTAGCACCAGTCGAGCTCCAATCCCTTTGGAAAATAACTGTCCGCTTCAGAACTTCGATTCTCTCTTTTTCGCATCACTGCATCTTCCTCCTTCCTTGGTCCCATCATTTCCTTCCCTTCTCTCCACTCAATCATAGTCTTCGGTCCCTTGCAAACACCGTCAAGATGGCGAAGGGGTAAGTCCGCGCTCATTCCCATCTCATTTCGCAGGTCTCTCAGCCGCTGGTCTTTCGGCCACCTCCCTGAGCTGCATCAGCACCATCTGGGGATCCGATCAATGCTTCCACGTGCTCGACACTAACTGTTCCTTCTAGAGATGTGAACCAGGCCGACAAGTCCTTTATGGGCATGCCCGGTAAGCCTCGCCCTCGTCGACGTTCGCCCTGCTGGACTCTTCTAGTCTCGGAGATCCGCTTGACGATATTTGATGTCATGGATGCTGGTGGCTAACGATACGGAAAGGCTTCGTGGTTGATTTTTTGATGGGTGGTGTGTCCGCTGCCGTCTCAGTAAGCATAACCTGCCTGCGGTCCGATCTGAGAATATCGAAATCTAACGCGAATCTGCTAGAAAACTGCCGCTGCCCCCATTGAGCGTGTCAAGCTCTTGATCCAAAATCAGGTATGCCAGCCTGCGACATCCATTGCCTATCCCCTTGGATATATGTCACATGCGATGCGATCGTTCCCACCTTTCTTCGGCGCGACTCTCTCAACTTTGGTTGAAGAATTCGCTTATCATGCTCCTACCACCATGATGACATCAACCTCGGTCATGCGAAAGGAACAATAACTTACACTCAAATTACAGGATGAGATGCTTAAAGCCGGTCGTCTCGACCGCAAATACAACGGTATCATCGACTGCTTCAGCCGAACCGCAAAGAGCGAAGGTGTCATGGCTCTGTGGAGAGGAAACACGGCCAACGTCATCCGATATTTCCCTACTCAGGCCTTGAACTTTGCTTTCCGCGATACCTACAAGTCGATGTTCGCTTTCAAGAAGGAGCGCGATGGATACTGGAAGTGGATGGCTGGTAACTTGGCCTCCGGTGGTGCCGCTGGTGCCACTTCCCTGCTCTTCGTCTACTCTCTCGACTACGCCCGGTACGTGCCACGCCATTGATCAGTCATTGGGATCTAGTGCTAACTATACACAGTACTCGTCTTGCCAACGATGCCAAATCTGCTGCCAAGGGTGGCGGTGATCGTCAATTCAACGGTCTTGTCGATGTCTACCGCAAGACTCTCGCCTCCGATGGTATCGCCGGTCTTTACCGTGGTTTCGGTCCCTCCGTTCTTGGAATCATCGTCTACCGTGGTCTCTACTTCGGCATGTACGACTCGATCAAGCCTGTCCTCCTTGTTGGTCCTCTTGAGGGTAACTTCTTGGCCTCATTCATGCTGGGCTGGGGTGTCACCACTGGTGCTGGTATCGCTTCTTACCCTCTTGATACTATCCGTCGTCGCATGATGATGACGTCTGGCGAGGTACGTATATCACCCGAATTCTGGCGAACGAGTCTAACTGGTTGCGCAGGCTGTCAAGTACAAGAGCTCTTTCGATGCTGCCCAGAAGATCATGGCCGCTGAGGGTGTCCGATCGTTCTTCAAGGGTGCTGGTGCCAACATCCTGCGTGGTGTCGCCGGTGCCGGTGTGCTCTCCATCTACGACCGTACGTGTCTCATTTCCACCGTCTGGTACTATGCTAACCATCTCACAGAGGTCCAACTTCTCATGTTCGGCAAGAAGTTCAAGGGTGGTTCCGGTTAAGCGCCTCTACACCTAAACGCGACGATCCCGACAAGCGACTCATCCGATCGCAAAAATGGTGTACCAGTGGATGCACGGTGTAATGTGTAGTGCCCTCAGCTGGAAAGGGAAGAAAACAGTGTACGATGAATTGGTGAAGCGTCCGTGGCCGCAGTTGGCAGCACAGGGGATGAAGAGAGGATGAGGCACATCTTGCAAATAGAGACGTCAACGACCGCACAACGGAAGGGGACTGACGAGGGATCATGGGTTTCGCGTTAAGCAACTTTCTCGTTGAGACAGTCGTTGGGGGTATTGTTTACAATATGCAATGGGGTTTCTGGCTTTCCCATCATTCGCTCCTCGAACACTCGTCATACACTCGCAAATTGTACGTTATTGCCTCGACCGCGCAGTTTTCAGCTTCGCCCTTGTTCCGTCCTGCTCGTCCTCGCTTTGGGAAAGGGCTCATTCTCGTTATGGCCTGGCCACCTGCGTTCGGCTGCCGATCAAGGTTGAATGAGAGTACCAGGCGTCGGTTTGTGTGTCTGAAGGGCAAGTGAGTGAGTGAGTGGGTTGGGTCTCAGTCGAACTTGAATTTCCCCTGATCCGGCCTGATTTGACTTTTCTGAAGCTCTTCACATTTACTCCGTACTGCCTTGTCCTTTGCATTAATGAGGCTTTCTCGGTGGGGGCGATGTACTACTTGCGGCTCCTTTTGGAACTCCACGAGCGCAGCCATGTAGAGAACAGTGCTTCTGATATACCCTGTACACGACGCATCCACAATACATTCTCATTCACCTCGCGCCTCGTCTGAATTCTGATGTTGTCACGCCGAGCTCAGTCCCTCAACGTCAACTTCGACGTCGGATTAGGTCGTCGGAGGACTTGACGTCTCAGAACGATTCTATTGTTTCCGCAGCCTGTCTACTCTGTAAACGATCGTCGTTCTACTCTGCAGTCGTTCATCAACGTCTCTTTGGCCGCGACCCGGTAGACGAGCAAAGGGATGAAAGTCTAATGAAGTAATGGAAAAGATCCCGTGAGCACGATTCTCGGACGAATGTCACCATATTCATCGGACTGCTGCTGCAGCCAGGTCACAGCATGTCCACTCCCCGCAAGCTGAAGGGCAGGCTGCACAACAAACCATACCATAATTTTCTCGGTCCACATCTTTCTTGCCCGCTGCTATCTTCCATCTTCCTCCCCGTTGATGGTCTTCCAGATTTGCTTCTCTGTCATGCTGAGTCTCTTCCCTGCGGCTCGTGCCCATGACATGGCAGTCTGCACTACCGTGTTGTCACCATCGGCGCTCCCGTTGGGTGACCCAAATGTCCATTCCAGGTCTAATATTCCGGCTCCTCTTCTCGTCGCTGACATGGGAGAAAGCGTGGCTCTGTAATCCGTCTCTTGGCAAGATTCGATCGGCTTGTCGTCAAAGGAGGAGTGGTGATCCTGTTGGTAGCCGGGAGGGTGCGAGAGATCTTGCGCTTCCGGCACTTTTGGGAGGGAGTAGGTTGGCGATGTGTAGTTGTAGCTTGGGCTTGTGGAAATGGAGGTGACACCTGCGGAAGGGACCGAGCGTACGGGCGTGCAGACTGTGCTGTGGTAGGTGGCAGGGTGGATAGGGAGAGGACGTGAGTGGGTGGGTGTTTGCGCTTGTGTTGGGGCAGCCGTCACGCGCGGTGGCGAAGCGTCGGGAGATGCATACGCACTCGGTTGAGGAATGTTGAGACAACGTGGTGAAGCCGGCGCGGACGCTCGAGGGGTGGGACTGATGGAGTACGGCGACGGAACGGCGCCCGGCTGCGGTGGTGGAGGAGTGTTCTCGGATGTGGCCAGACTAGCTGGCTGCAGCGGCGCGGTTGGTGTCGGGTTGCATCTGCTGTTGTGCGTGCTGGCCGCCGTGTTTGTGGGATGAGGAACGGCTGCTCGCGCAGGCTGCGATGGAGATGCACCCAGGGCGGGCTCTGTGGAACTCGGACGTGATTCTGCAGTAGAAGGTGTGTATCGAGCGCCAGCAGTGCTGGGGGAGGTCCCGAGCGCGTGCGAAGGGAGGTTTGTGTTGATGGCGGAAGCCGTGTGGACTGGAATCGGCGCCATCGTACTGTAGCTGCCTGTATATTGCGTGCTGCTTTCTCGACGGTCCTACACTTGCTTGATCAAGGGAGATCTTTGGTTTGACGGTAAAGAGAGACAGGGACAAATAGTAGAGACGGAGGGACAACGGAAGTGGTATACTCCTTTCTATCGCTCCCAAGAGAGTGATGATGTGGGTGGCAGGCCGTGCGTTTGCACTCTGGACTCGAAGAATGCGGGCGCAAGACAACTGGCGTCATTGATTTGTGGAAAGATGCGCAGACTCACCACTCCCTTGCAATCGACGACCGCAACAAGGGCAGAGCGCGACGGCGAGGTTGGCCGATGGGACGAGCGATCTTTAATCCGGCGACGTCGAACAAAGCGTCTTTGTTGACCGGACACCTCAGCTCGAGCAGACGTGGTGTTTTCTCTGACACAGGCAGCGAATTAATTACCGTGAGACGAGTCTCTCTGTTTCCCTCTGCCGTTTCCGGCAGAAGTACACAAGCAGGTCTGCGGATCGGAACCTACGGAGATCCAAGTGGCAGGGCTGAGACGAGGGTTACACAAAGAACGTGGCCGCCGCCGCTTACGGACGGACAGCGAGTCTGCTTCTGGTCCTTGGTGTCCTTCTGACAATGTTGACGCATGCCAAGGCGGGCGCTTCGATGTTGCGCCTCGACGACGCTCATTGGTCTCTGCCGCACTGCATGGATGCTGGCCGGAAAAGTCAATATCGCTACCAAACCGTGACATTCCCTTCGATGCCGGCAACATGCATGAACCAACCCAGACTGGCCCGAGACGCCCGTAAGAATTGTATTTCTGTCTATCTTGCCTCAGCCTCGTCAAATCAACGTGACGCGCCGTGCCGGGACGAGTTCTATTTGGGTTGGTCGCCAGCGTCCAACCACCTGACGGTTTCACGACCTTCTCCGCCGGACCGCGTGCTTGATCCGCATCGTTTGATTCGCCCGTCTTGTCTTCTCTATACCAGCCTGTGTGCTATTCCCACTGGCCTCCTCATCACCCCCCAGACACTCTTCCTTCAGACGGGCCTAAGCCGGCTTTATCCAAGGCGGCCGCGCCTAGACCCTGGCACCGAAAAATTCGACATGGGATCAATGTTGCATTAACTGCATCGATTTCTCAAAAAGAAACCTTCCGCCGACGTATGAAGCTGGTGCTGGGCACATTTTTCCCACAAGGCTACTCGTTTGCCCAATGTACGACAGACCGCTCCCTGCACCTTCTCAATTTGGTCCTGTCCGTCGCTGGACCATCTCCCGATCGAACCATCGCTCACCGCGGGGTAGGATATAGCCTGGTCAAGCCAACTCTGTCCCGTGGTCACCGGCGTCTGAGCCAGTGCCTATGGTCTATTGGCACCCAACATGTACGGCTCTCTTCTCTTCTTACTATGTCCGAATTTAATGAAACCAGGAAGTTCGGCAAGCAAATCCAACGCCAGCAGTTGGATCTCCCCGAATATGCCGCCAGTTTTCTCAATTACAAGGCCCTGAAGAAGGTGGGGCAGGCCATGCAACATGCTCGAGATTTTCTGCTCATTTGCTCGTGCAGCTCATCAAGCAACTCAGTGCCACTCCTACGATCACCGCACAGAGCGGTTCCACCACCACCGACACCCAGGCCGCCCTGAGAGCGAACAAAGAGGTTTTCTTCTTTCGACTGGTAGGGATATAGAGCTGACCACTCCGTACGCACAATTTCTGATCCCTTTCCCAGGAGCGCGAGATAGAGAAGGTTAATGGCTTTTATCTGCAAAAAGAGGAGGAGGTATTGTAACCCGAGTCCGTGTTACCCACTCAAGGCTGACTACTGTCAGTTTTCGCTTCGCCTGAAAACCCTACAAGACAAGAAGAGAGTCATACAAGCAAGACTGGCCGCGAGCTCGAGACTCTCTGCAAGTTTCGCAACCTTGGTCGAGGGGTTTCAACAGTTCGACAACGATCTCAATAAACTTCAAGTGCGGCACAGGCTCAGTTCTAGTGGTGCTTAGAGGCTGACACAGCGCAGCAATTTGTGGGCGTCAACGAGACGGCAATATCGAAAATTCTGAAGAAGGTTCGCTCCATCTGCCACTTTTTAGGGAAGCTGACGGTGTAGCTAACCTATGCTAGTGGGATAAAACGTCAAAGGTGAATGGAGGATGCGCTTGTTTAATTGTTGGACTGTTGCTGATTGTGTGACTAGTCAAGGACGAAAGAAATCTACCTGCAGCGAGCCGTTGAGATCCAGCCATGCTTCAACCGAGATGTGCTTCGAGAGCTCGCCGATAAAGCCACCACCGCCCGACTCGACCTGGAAGCATGGGCCGAAGGCGAAAACATACAGTACGAGGTACCGAGACCTCAGGATCGCACAATTGGTCAGCGCGTGGGTACAGAAGAAAGTGACATTGACCTGCAGATTCTGCAGGCATCTGCCGCAGGCAATGTCGCAGCATTGCGCGAGTGGTTCTTGAGGTTAGGCACTTCACCGGACGCGCGCGATCGTTTCACCCGAATATTTCTGGCGTCAATCTCTGAAGCGCCCGATGAATCTTTAAACGTCTTCTTCCACTCGGGATTGATTGACATCCATGCCGAAGACGACATCAACGAGCGCAACTGCTTGCATGAGGCGACGATATATGGCAAAGAAAGCGTGTTGAATTATGCCCTCGAACATGGTGTGGATCTTACACGTGTTGATGCCTATGGGAGGGTGCCCTTACATTACGCATGTTTAAGAGGAAGGATTGGTATGGTTGCGACGTTGTTGGCTGCCGGACCGAGCACAATCGACCTCAAAGATCACGACAACTTCACCCCTCTGATACACAGTATCGTCCGTCATCGCATCGACTGCGTCCGACTTCTGCTCGCCAACAATGCCAGGATCGATCCACAGTCCGACAACGACCACATACCCCTAAACCTGGCCTGTCAGCATGAGTCCATTGAAGTCGCAGGTCTGTTATTGGAGAGAAATGCAAGATTACTGGCCGATGCGGAAGGCCTCTTCCCTCAACATCTTGTCGCCCGCTCAAGCCAGAAGCCTGACCTCTTGATACTGCTTAGACAGCACGGAGCGGACCTCAATCAACGTGACAAGCTGTATCAATGGACACCACTATTTCACGCAGCAAGCGAAGGCAGAGTCGAGTGCTTGCGGGCGCTGCTGGAAAATGGCGCAGATCCAGAAGCTCTCGACGAGAAGGGGCTCACGGCCATGTATTACGCCACCTGGGAAGGCCACCTGGAATGTATGGATCTCCTGTGGGCGCGGACCAGCCAACATCGCGCTGAACGAAGATCTTCCACCAGACTGGGAGTCGTCGCTCCCCCACATAGTCAAATGCTTGCAATGGAGATCACCCCGGAAGAGCCCACCGCGATGGACGCAGATGGCATCCCAGACCTCTCCCTTCCACCACCAATCATGCCACTACGTCGATATGGCCACAGCTTCCTCGACACCAAAACTTTCATTGCAATCAACTTCGATCGTGCAGCAAAAGCGATACAATTCTTTAATGAGGCTAGGTATCCTGCCGCACGCCTGACGATCTCTTCGAAGACCTCCGACCTCATCCCCCGCAATCTGATGCTTCCGATACAAGAAGACTCGAGATCTGTCTATTACCAGATAGAAAACCTCAGCACTTTCTCCTTGGATTTCGAGATTTTCCCGACCTTCGGTTCAAAAGTCATCGCCAAGACAGTTGCGCTTCCTGACGTTTTCCAAGCAATTGAAAGCAGCGCCGGGAGTTGCTGTCTACCCTTGTTCGATCCACGGCTGCGCGCGGTTGGGCAGATCCAATTCAACTTTCAGGTCATCAAGCCTTACCCAGGAAAAACGCTAGAAATCACACAATTTCCGTTTTATTGGAGACAAACTAGTGCCTTGGATGACCAGGGCGGGTCGATGACGGGCTCAAGTCTCTCGGGCGACTACCTCAAGATCACCGTGCAACTCACCCGTGACAGAGTGCCGGTCATATACCCGTCCTATTTTGTGCCATATCACAATCTCGAAGTCTCACTGTGTCAGCTCACATATGATACTCTTGCGAACCTTGGCATGAGTGGTAACCTTCTACTGAACGACGGAGCGCCGGCTCTGGAAAGCGTCAACATCATTGACTGGAAGGAACGCCTTTCAAAATCGATCTTCACTCTTCGCGGCGTTTTGGCTGCTGTGCCAGTTCAGCTCAATCTCAATCTCCACATTCTGTATCCCTCCAACTATGAAGATCTCAACCTCGGAGTCTACTCGAATACCGACATCAACACCTTCGCTGATGCGATCCTGACAGAAGTGTTTAACCATGCGCGGGCCCTACGAACACAGTCCCCAGACCTGACGCGATCTGTCGTCTTTTCCTCCTTCAATCCCAACATTTGCACCGCGCTGAACTGGAAACAGCCAAACTACCCCGTCCTGCTATGCAACGATCTAGGCCGCCTGCAGAGCGCCCTGCAGTCATCGAGCAACACCCTCGAAGCAGGACTCGCACGGGGCACCTCCATCAAGGAAACTGCTCGTCTCTCACAGATGAACAACTTCATGGGATTGACTTGCTCGGCGCGGATCTTGCAGATGGTTCCTGCTCTGACAGAAACGATTAAGCAAGCCGGGTTGGTCCTTGTTTCCGATGCGTCTGCGGAAGACAACACTGCGCATGGCCTGGAAGCTGATGGTGCCATTTTCGCGATGAAACCGGATGGCGTCAGTGGTGTCATGAAGGCGAATGGGATTCTCCGCTTTAATGAGACTGTCGACATGTAGTGTGCGCCGACCTTTGTTTGCTGATGGCTGACGGCTGACGTTCCTTGAGCGGCAGGATGGGAGCTCAGTGCTTATTCAACCAGTCAGGAAAACATCTCATCAAGAGACCTAAACACATCTTTCTACCGAGGATATCTGAGACGGGGCGCTCTGGGGCATAAGCGTTACTGGTTTTAAGACCGAGTCTTTGGCCTTGACTGGGTTACTATGGGTGGCAGCGGTGTCTTTTTGCATAGCTTGCAGGGGCCCTTGCGGAGTCGGGTCAAGAGCCCAGCTGTAAGACTGTAGCGGTCTTGAAATGCAGCGAGATAGATGAGAAACGGATTTGGGGACACAGTACGAATCGGCCTCCCATTGGCACCAGACTGGCTGAAGAACAAGCCCGGTGGAGAAGACGAGCCCCAATTGAAGGCGGTACATACTTTGCATGTTCCAGGCTTGCCTATTGGATTCCGACACGACCAAGCTTTGCCTACTCATGCTTGTGCATTACTAAGTGCTTCTTCTGTAGCGCTGGTAGATCGCTGGCTGTCGGAGGGCTGGCTGAAATCCTCCTGGAGCGAGGGAACAAAGGACGGCAGCTACGCATCGTCCCTCACATTGCGGTTGGGCTGCTATGTTGCTTCTCTGCCTCGACCTTGCACAACCCAGCCGGCTTGCATGAATTGACAACCCCTAGGTCAGCTATGGACATTCCCCAATCGACGGGATCCGAGCTGAACGAGGAGGAAATCAAGAACACGAATGGTGATGTCACCCTCGACGATGAAATGCGGTCGCATGTTCGCCTTCAAGCGATACGGAAGAACCCCTGGGCGTTTGCCTGGTGCCTCTACGCCGTTTCGACGCTTCTCCTGGCCGTCTACGAGGACCAAGCGTCATACGCCATTCTGGGGATACCAGGCTTTCGAAGAGATTTCGGGTCGTACTACGAAGGCAGCTATGTGCTTGCAGCCTCGTGGCAGTCCGCCTTTCAAGGCGCTCCCATCGCGACGTAGTGTCACCTTCCCCAGCTCCCTACACACCACACTGACAGTTCTCAAGCCGCGTGGTGGGTGCGCTGACGGCGGCGCCAGTAGCGGACTACATTGGCCGTCGCAAAACCCTCATCGTTGCCGTGGCGCTCTCCCTCGTCGCAATAACGATGGAGTTCGTGGCCACGACGAACGGTCTTTTCTTTGGTGCGAAGCTCCTGAGTGGCATGGCTGTCGCTGCCATCGAGGCCGTCTGCGGAACTTACCTAGCTGAGGCACACAATAGTGTTTCCCTCTTTCTTTGCTCCTGCCACACTAACACGATTAGCAGATCGTCCCGACGGCTCTGCGTGGACTCATGACCGTGCTTCTCCCCTTTGCTGCGGGATTTGGCGCCCTGGTCGCCGCTCTGATCATCAACAGCAGCGGCAATCAGCCCGATCGGTGGGCGTACAGGACCGTCTTTTGCAGCCAATACGCCTTCGCTGCCGTGCCAGTCATCTTTATCTGGTTCATGCCCGAGTGAGCGAGCCGGCATGAAGTCAATCACCCTCCAGCACTGACACTAACATTGAGGTGTAGATCACCGTGGTGGCTCTTGAGCAAGGGCCGTGAAGACCAGGCGCTGAACTCGCTGCATCGACTCGGCTACAGCACGTCCAGCGGCGAGGACGTCAAACGCATGGCCAGCATCAAGGCGACACTGGAGCAGATCCGGCAAGAAACGGAGGGTGTCACATACCTCGAATGCTTCCGCAGGTCCAACCTGCGCAGAACCATCGTCGCCACGGCGCCGCTTTCGTAAGTTCAGTTGAGTCGAGCTCGCTGTCTCGAGGCGAAGCCGCCGTGTGCTGACTTTTGTGGCGTGAGGGTGCAAATATGGAGCGGCATTGTCTTCACGGCCCTGTATTCGACCTACTACGCCCAACTGGCCGGGTACAGCACCTCCATGTCGTTCAAGCTGCTGGTCGTGCAACAAGTGCTGGCCATGACCGGCAACATGATGTCCTGGACGCTGATCGACCGGATCGGCCGCCGCGGGCTCACCGTGTACGGCACTCTGGGACTGACACTCCTCCTCTGGATCATGGGTGGGCTGGCTGTCGGCGGGTCGCGCGCCCAGCTGAAGGGCGCCGTCGCCATGGTCCTCCTGTACACGTGGCTCTACAACCTGACGCTCGGGGCCACCGCGTACACGTACCTGACCGAGGTGGCGACGGCGCGGCTGCGGGCCAAGACCATTGCGCTCGGCCTGGCCACGCAGAGCGGTTTCGGCTTGATGTGGAGTTTCGTGCTGCCGTACCTGTTCAATCCGGATGAGGCCAACTTGGGGGGCAAGGTCGGGTTTATCTTTGGCGGTGTGGCGATTCCGTGTGTCGTGTTTCTGTGGTGGTACCAGCCCGAGACGGCCGGGCGGTCGTACGACGAGCTGGATGAGATGTTCATGAAGGGAGTCCCTGCGAGGGCGTTTGGAGAGTATAAGACCGAGGCGCGGGCTACGAGACAACAACTCGTGAGAGGGAGTGCGTCTGTAGACGGGCCTCCAGACCACATACCTTGCGTTTAGCTAGGAGCTCAATGCGGCGTGTCAGTGATATCAACACATTTCGGTATCGATATCGATATCGATTGGCATATCTCGATACGAGCTGAGGCGAGAGTAGATTCCCAAGGCACATCTCCCACTGTACCGAGTACCGTCTCCACATTCCTCCGTCAACAGTACGTACACGAGTCTTGTCTGTTCCCGTCCTGTCCCGTCCTGTCCTGCTCTCCGTCGTGCATTCCCCCGTCTCGGCCCTCCTCTCCCTTTTCTCTCACCCATTAACCACGAGTACTGGCCCCCCTTCTCACGATTGGACCAACCCCGCCCCAATGCCCAACCACACCCCGGCCGCGACCGCAAACACGCTCGCCCACTTGGGCCCCCTCAGGCGGAAAACCTCATACACATCCACCGCGCACAAGACCATGCCGCTGAGAAGTAGCGTGCCGGTCTCGCGCAGCTTGAAATCGTACGCCAACTTCCCCACGGCCAAGCCGATGGTCAGATCGCGCGCCCCGAGGAGGACCATGGACGTCTCGACGGCCTGGGAGTGGTTGGCGATGTCTGTGTTGGCGTGTGCGGCGGGCTTGGTCGTCGAGCGCGTCGGGTTCGCGTTGCTCCCTGGCGCGGGACTCGTCGGGTACAGCCCGAATGCCTGTGCGCAGAGGCTCGGGGTCGAGATGGCGAAGGCGCCGAGCCCGATGTAGCTGGCTGAGACGCCTAGGCCGAGCAGCCGCCACGTCGAGGGTGAGACGTCCATGTGGTCGGTTTAATTAATTAAATCGATTGGGTTGGTGTGCAAAGTGTATATAGTGGCCCGAGCTAGAAGGGGAGTTTGAGTCTTGAGGGACGTCCAGACGAGATGAGGCGGAGATGAGAGGCGACGAGATGGGTTGTCGGTTGCCTACGCTGGACGATGTACAGCGTATGGCCTTTGACTTGCTTGCTACCCTGTTGCTCTGTGCTCTGTGCTCTTTATAGCGTGTAGATCGACCGAGAGATGCTACGTGGTGCGATGAGTAGTTAGGCGACGGTCCTTGCCTCCGGAATACAAAGGTGAAGGACACGCTGGATTTCAGATCACTGGACGTTAGACAGTAAGATGCAAGTTATCTGAAGCTACAGTACGAGTACGAGGGAGAAGCTCCTGGGAGTCTCGGATGTGACGTGACGTAACCACTGTGTGCTTGTGGATGCGAATACGAAATACGAAGCCTAGTTGATTAGGCGTCATCGGAAAGAGATTCCGGTGCATTCTGTCCCCAGGGACGACGAGAAGGCCCTCAATTGTCTCCCTGCGGTGCTGCCGTACTACGGTGCTCACGGTTGCTAAGCAGGAAGAGGTTGAGAGCAAGACATACGTCAACACAGCAACAGAGTGTCTCTGGTCTCAGAAGAATTCCACTCGGAGGTCGTCGGTGTGGCGATTCTCTTTGTTCGTGGCCATCACCATTTGCCCACCTATGGCCGTATTCTGTTGAGCTTACCACGAGTACTGTTACCCTTTTCACGCTTTTAATTATCGTTTCCCTCGTGTGACTTGCTCGAGTTGCCTAGAGCTATGACCGCAGCCATAGAGCAAAGCTCGCGAGGTTCTTAGGGTGTTTCCTAGCCAGCCTGCTGGTGGCCCATCGTCTTGTGGCGCTTCGCGTGCGACGCATTTCGGTTCCTTCAGGTCAACACTTCGTGTTTCAGGACGCGTTTTGACCACTTGCCGTTCCTTTCGATGTATGCCGGCTGGTTGGACTGCGGTGGTTTGTTGATGCTGTTGTCGACAATCATGATCCTCGAAGCGGCGACCTTGATGACCCTGATGACCGACCCTCAGCTGCCGAAGTTCTAAGTCCTGATACTTCATGCCCTTGGTGCTGGATTCGGGGGGCAAGCACAGTGGCATTTGGCTGCGATGGTGAGATTCTACTGGTCTCGACGTGTACGGAGACCTATTCGAGTGACGGCACCTGTTCGATCTGCAGTAGTGGTCTTTCCGAGACCGCTGTACACAACAGTCTTGGGCAAGTGGACCAAGGCAATCCTCTTCTGCTTTCGCGACCACGCACCACGGTACTCTCTCATGGGTCTCTCTTCATCCGTTCTAGTAAGGTTGAAGTCTGGGAGTGTCGAAGCAATACCATACTTCTTCCAGCGTGATGCTCCGCACGCGTTCGTACACGTCGATATATATCTTTGACTCCTTAGCATCGGGTACACTTCTGGAAGGTTGCTTGACGACATGCACCGGCATCCGGAGGCACAAGGTGCGGAATATGTGTCAAACGTATTGCGCGCACCAAAACACACACGACCATGCTTGATCGGCTGGTACCGTCAATCACTGCGTTCTCGTGGACAAGTTGCGCAAAGTGCGCAGCTCAGATGCATTCACCGAGAACACGGGGATTTCCACGTCACCGACCCTCCCTACGTCGTCATTGTGGCAGGGAAAGAACATGACGATTTGCATGTTATCAAACTCTCTACGACTGTCATTGTGAGAGAAGTACCGGACGCCTTGCGGCTCCTTTAAGATCTGCTGAAAGGTTCGTGCTGGACCCAACCCTGCCGAATGCCGGCCATTTGTTCTTCTTTCGTGAAGCAGACGATACAGCTCATGGCGAGGATCCATTGATCTGTTGAACTCCCACGGTTTACCTTGGTCTTACCAAGTATCTGCTATCGAAGGAATACTGTTTTGGTCTTCTTGGCTCCAGATCTCTCTCCTGGTCAGTCCGTTGTGAAGAATAGTCCACAAAACAAGGATGGACTGCTGCTTTTCTCATTTTGATGTAAACTATAGATGCTCTGGCGCGTGCCCGCTCGAGGATCTGGAGGGAACCATGAAGGAGCTAGAAAAACCCCCCCAAGGAATCGCGTAAATCCCCAGGAAGGTTTGCAGCGGATATACCGCTGCCACTGGCGGAACATACCCGCAACTTTGTTGCGCGGGTCTCGGACCCAGAAGTCAAGGAGGGGCGGATGGCCATTCACGGTCACGACCACCTCGTCATTGTCGACGCTGAACACCACTGCCTCTTCCAGGCGGCCAATTCGGATCGCAGCCTCAGGGTCTGGTTGTGCCAGCCGGGCTCCGTCCTCTTGGACTGTGATCAATTAGGGGGGGACCTCCGTCCGAAGCACGCCTACACCCATCGACCACAGATGCTAGTTTGATGTTTTTCCTTGCCGCTCGTGGTTCCAACCTGTTGAGTGCTTACCCAATGACCTGGGAAACAGTGTGCATGGAGCAAAGACTGCCGTGAGCAATACTGAGCGGACCTACTGTTGGACTTTCAGCACTCCGCTTGGACGCGGTCGTGGGCATTTTCCTTTGCTAAGTCGATGTATGAGGTTGTTGTGCCGCCAACATGCGTGATGTTGTTGGATTGTCTTCTAGCTGCCGCGGTGATGCGCATCGTTGACACCTCAGAAGCTGTAAAGGTCTTTCCCTGGTGGTGTTTGCAGGGCCTTCTACATGCAAATATCGTGAAGGGTATTGGCGCGAGGTGCAAGGCGCTGTTTCATGGCTGCGTCAATCTGTCCTCGTTGGATGAGATACGTGCTCATTGCGAACGCCACCGAGTGACAGCCATGGATTGCACAGGTATTGTGCCCCACGTCAAAAAAGTCCACGAATGTCGGCAGACCGCGAATGGGTCGTGTAGGGTAGTCCCTTCTAAAGAATCCAGTCGGGACTTGGCAACGAAAGCCAGCAAAGCGGAAGCTGCGCTTGGTGTTGTCGTCCAAATAGAGCCGAGGGCGGAGGCTGCATGTCTGCCACGAATGCTGGTGGCCCTTGGGTTGCGAGAGACCTTCGTCCTCAGGCCACCGAACGCTCGATAGTGTTGCTACCAACTATTATGGCGTAACAGCTTTAAGTCCAGGTGGATTCGAAAAGCCTGACCGACACTGGCGTCGTGGATTCCGATCTCTCCATCACCTGGAAGAAAATACTGTGGAAGGACTTGTGCCTTTCGAACAGCGTGTTAGACTCCCATTTTCTGCTCATCGGTCCTCCAACGATGACAGATGGACTTGATTCTCAATGGCTGAAGCATGCCACTGCGCATGATCCACGTCTTCATATCACCAGTGATCACTGTTCGGTGTCTATGCCTTTGTGATCGATTCTGCCAATTCACAAGCCTCCTTGTTCATAGCCTTTTCGGAGGTTTTTTCCAGGTGGAATCTACTTTAGGAAATGCTGTTGTGGTCCAGGCCATAACTGCAGGTCCGTCATCGCACTCTTCCAAGGTTTCAGGTCCTCTGCCAACGTTCTTCTCTTGGGGGTCGTCGAAGTAATATACTCTTGGTGCAGAGTCTCAGTCGAGCCTATTGTCAGCCGATAAGATGTGAAGGAGAGCATCTTTGAGAGCGAGCTCGAGACCACAATGCAGGACGTAGGCACGTTCAGAGCCAGAAGTTCTTCCAGCTCGACATCCAGCCTCTTCCATTCGCGAACTCCACTCCAAGTACTCTGTAGTCATGCCATATATATATATAGATCATGTTCACTTTCTTCGCCCGACGAGAACAACAACCGTCCACTGCGTCCCCTGCATCCCATCGGATAATATCCGAACGCCACTCCTCATCTTCATCGTCCGTCTCTGGTCGCTCTTCGTCCCGGTCGGGTAGACAGCCGACGAATTCGCTCTCTCTTGTCGGTGCCATCCAGCGAAATCCGGGCACGCGACTGAGAACTTACTAGATTTGACGGAGGGATAGCCCCACACGAGGGAAAATGGGCTGCTGTCCAAAACAAGTTTGAAGTCGTCTCCGAGTTGCTCTTGATGCTGGACGCACTTCACCAAGATTTCGCCGATCGTCTCTACCGGCTAGTTCTCTTCCTCTCGGCTAAGCGCGTCGAATATTGTAGAAAAGGCGGTATAGTGGTTGAAGAGATGTTTTTCGAGTAGGGTGTCCAATAAGTCCCTTGCGAGTTGCGGCCTCGGAGTAGGTAACTCGAGTTTACATGCGAGACTCCAAGGATGATAGAGTATGAATGCGAGTTCAATATAGTTCTCCTTGCCCCAAGAGAGAAAGGACCGGTCGTCTGTGGCAGGGCTCAGTCGCCGAGGAACATCGTGAGACGAAGTGGTTCCGCAGTCAATCAAGGGCAGTTTTCCGTTCCCATTTATTTCGTCCGGATAGATGAGCTGTACTTCTCCTCGGCGCCCCATGTCCAGGACTCTCCTGGTGGTAGAAATATTGGCAACCCCGGTAGAGATCGCATGTCGATATCCGGCACAGACCATAGATTGGTCGGGCTATGGGAGAGGCTTTTCAAGAACCCAATATGGTATTTGGGTCGCGTAGGGGGACGGCGACTACAGTACAACCCTGCGCTCATGTCTGTACTCACAAAGTGATCCGAGAGCATTTGACGCTTTGAACGTCTGCTGTCCCTGAGTTCAGCGGCACGAGAGGGGCCGTGCAGTCCTCGCACTGAGTTTTCTTTCCTGCGCCGATCACATCTTATTCTTTTCGTAAACCCAGTTCGGGCTCTTTTCATCATAGCCGTCGTGAGCCGCGGGGCGTCTCCCTGGGTTCGTAGCGAGCATCTAAGTCAAGAGGCTTAACGGTCCAGCACAAAGCGCTCAGAAGTTACGCCTTGCTAGGCGATCTCCAGAGGTTGTGGACCTCTCCTTGACGTTGTCCGAGCACTTCAGTGCTGAGCAGAGCTCTTCGGCCTCGCTGCTGTGCTGGCTGGTGCTATTCTCGTTAGCTTAAAACTTTCCACCATTAGGACCGTCTTCCTCT